TCTAAAATTTTATTCTTTTTTTTTTTTTTTTTTTTCCATTGGAGTGGGTTTTTGCTTTTTTTAAAAAAAAAAAAAAAAAAAAAAAAAAAAAACAAAAAAAAAAAAAAAAAAAACCACCAAAACCCAAAAAAACTTTGTTCATTGATGTTTCATAAAGAAGTGAAAGTGAAAACATGTATTCAGTCTGCAAACTTGCTGCATTTTAGGACCCCATTTCCCTTTCTTTGATTTATGGTGCCCTGTCATTTTGTTGTAAAGGTGCCCTGCCATTTTGTTGTAAAGGTTAAGTATTTATACTAGGTAATAAGGTAGATAACAGAATGGACAGATTTTATTCTTGCCAGTCAACCAGAGATTGCAAGTTCATGACCTACAGAGTCAAACACTCACAGATGTATTTGCTTTAACTTATATAGTATTTACAAATTTTGTAGTAGTTACTATCACTTCAAATTTGTTTTTTTTAAAAAATCTTAATTTCTATTCATATGACTTCCTAGTCTGATTCTCATGACTTAAGCTCAAGTTTACTTGATTCTTTTTGAATCTTTTCACTTGGTTGTTTCACTCATCATGTTCAACATGTCTGAGGTAGGCTTAAAATCTGTATATTTTGGAACTTGGCCTGTTTTCTGTCATATGTGTTATAAAATATTTTCTGTATTTATAGTGCATTTTTTTTCTTTTTAGTTTTTTTGCTGAGTAGTTTTTCAGTTGACTTTTTATTATAACATAAACAAAAATGCACAGATCATAAATCTGCAACTTCATGAATTTTTTAATATGTAAACACACCTGTGTAACCACCAAGATCAAGATGTTGAATGTTATTACTACTTGTAAAGGTTTTGCCACAAGACATAGAATACTTCCATTACTCCTACAAAGTTTCCTCACCCACTTTCAAAACAATTCCTCCTCCATGTTCCAGAAATAACACTTTCTAATTTCTATCACCATATTATTAGTTTTATGTATTTTTAGAATTAATATAAATGAAATCATTGTCACTCCCTATAATGTTTTCTGAGATCTGCTTTTGCATAGTTTGTTTCTTTTCATTGCCGAATAGTATTCAATTCTATTGTTTCTTTGAAGAATTTACCAGTTGATGGATATTTGGGGTTGCCTGAAGTTTTGAGGTATTGTTACTAAGACTAGTAACAATTATTAGTGTGCAAATCTTTTTTGTAGGCATGTGTTTATATTTCCCTTTAATAAGTATATGTGAGTAGAATTACTGGGTTATAGCATAGATGTATGCTATGCTTCACAAGAAACCATTAAATAGTTTTCTAAAATAGCTGTATAATTTACACTCTCACCAGCAATCTAAGAGAATTTCATTTGTTTCACATCTTTGCCAACATCTGGCACCCATGCCAGGCAAGTGCTCTACCACTGAGTTACAACCCCAGCCTTCTGCTGGAGTTTGAATGTGATTGCCAAGATGAAGTTTGGAATTTTTATCTTGATAATATTGAGTCTTTCTTCCTGTGAACATGGAATCTCTCTCCATTTATTTAGATTTTCTTTACTTTCATCAGTTTTGTAGTTTATTTCACATAGATCTTATATATTTTTTGTTAGATTTATTCCTAAACTTTTCATTTGGGGAGGGGTGCTAGGGTGAATAGTATTTTTTTTAAGAGAGAGAGAGAAAGAGAATTTTTTTTAATATTTATTTTTCAGTTTTCGGTCGACACAACATCTTTATTTTATTTTTATGTGGTGCTGAGGATCAAACCCAGCGCCCCGCGCATGCCAGGCGAGTGCATTACCACTTGAGCCACATCCCCTGCCCAATAGTATTGTTTTTAATTTCAAATGCCAGTTGTTCCTTTCTGGAAAGGATTTGTTTATAAGAAAAGCATTTGGCTTTGTGTATTAACTTTGTATATACACTACAACCTTTTAATAATCAGGTATTAGTTTCAGATTTTTTTTTGTCAGTTGTTTGGAATCTTCTACATGGACAATCATGTCAACTACAAAGACTTTTCTTTCTTTCTTCCCACTATGAATACCATTTATTTCCTTTTCTTTTTATATTGTGTTATTTACAACTTCCAGTATGATGTTGGAAGAAATAGTGAGAGGTGACATTCTTTCATTGTTTTCAATTTCATGGGGTAAAGCACCTTGTTTCTCGCCATTAAATATGAAGTTAGCTTTATATTATTTCTACTCTTTTTAGTTTGTTAAGGCATATTTTATAGCCCAGAATGTGGTCTGTCTTGGTGAATATCTTATGTGAGCTTGAAAAGAATGTGTATTTGGTAGTTGTTAGATGAAGTATTCTATAAATGTCAGATCCATTTAATTGTTGGTACTTTTGATTCAATTTTGTCTTTATTAACTGTTTGCTGGATCTGTTAATTATATTTAGAGGGGTGCTGAGGTCTGCAGCTATAATAAAGGATTTGTCTATTTGTTTTGCATTTCTATCGGTTTTTGCCTCCCATCCTCTTTGTTAATGCTGAGGATTGAACCCAGGGCCTTGAGTGTGCTAAGCAGACACTCTAACACTAAGCTGTATCCCCAGCCATAGCTCACATGTTTTTGATACACTGGTGTTAGTCATGTACATAATAGGATCGTTATGTCTCCTTGGAGAATTAACCATTTTACTATAATGTAATCCTTCTTTTTATCTCTGGAAATTTTCCTTGTTCTGAAGTCTGCATGAATATAGCTGTTCTAGCTTTTGTTTGATTAGTGTTAACATAGTATATCTTTTTCATCTCTTTATTTTTGAACTTTTTGTGTCTTTATGTTTAAAGTGATTTTTTTTAGAGAAATATAGTTGGCTTATCATAAGGGTTATAGAAGAAATTATAGGATATCTTCATAATCCTTGGGTAAGGAAAGATTTTTTTTAGACAAAAAGTTTCAAAAAATTGATAAATGGAGCTTCAAAATTAAAAATTTCTCATCAAAACACATTACATTATATACTGTATAAAATTATCACACTGAATCCCACAAATATGTAAAATTATGTATCAGAATAATTTAAAAAAGACTTTTTTTTTGTACCAGGGATTGGACACAGGAGTGTTTGCTACTAAGCCACATTCCCAGCCCTTTTAAAATTTTATTTAGAGATAGGATTTCACTGACTTGCATAGGTAAGTTGCTGAGGCTGGCTTTGAACTCGGGATCTTCCTGTCTCAGCCTCCTAAGCTGCTGAGATTATGGGCACACACCACTGCACCCAGCTAAAAAGAGACATCTTTCAGAAAATTAATAAATAAGTCACAGACAGGGGAAAACATTTTTTTTTTCCCTACTAGGGATTGAACACAGGGGCACTCACCAAATGAGTCATTTCTCCAGCCCCCTCTGCCCCATCCCCCCGTTTTTAATTTAGAGACAGGGTCTTACTCGATTGCTTAGGGCCTTGCTGAATTGCTGAGGCTAGTTTTTTTTGTTTTTGTTTTTTTATTGGTTGTTCAAAACATTACAAAGCTCATGACATATCATCTTTCATACATTTGATTCAAGTGAGTTATGAACTCCCATTTTTGCCCCAAATACAAATTGCAGAATCACATCAGTTACACATTCACAATTTTTACATAATGCCATATTAGTGACTGTTGTATTCTGCTGCCTTTCCTATCCCCTACTATCCCCCCTCCCCTCTCCTCCCATCTTCCCTCTCTACCTCATCTGTTGTTGTGCTGAGGCTAGTTTTAAACTCACTCTCCTTCTGCCTCAGCCTCCCAAACCACTGGGATTATAGGTGTGTGCCGCTGTGCCCGGCACAAGGAGAAAACATTTATAGTGTTTACATAATATGTAAAGAACTCCTATGAATTTCTAATAAAAAGATAAAAAAGATTTAAAAAAGAAACTTCTACTTTCTTGTCTGGAAACTACTATGTGAATGGTTTGGATGCCATTGTTCCCATCCTCAATAATAATAAAAAAAAAAAAAAGCAGAAAGTGAAATTAATTGAAAATCAGCAAGTTTCCTTAATCTACCAAAGAACTGAGTTCACAGGCAAACTGATTCCCCCCAAAACTGGAGAGACTGGCAAAGATAGAATACTGCAATACTGGGAGCCTAGTAGCAACACTTAAAAGGTGATTAAGCGTGTATTAGTTGAATGGTGTGTGTGTGGGGGTCCCCTCTTAGAAAGGTTCCCACAATATTAAACTTTCTGGAGCCATATACTAGATTCTCAAGGTGAAGACTGGAGAAAAACTTCAGAAGGAGGAAGAAAAAAAAGTAATCAGTTTGAAATAGAGTACCCTGTTCTCTTTAACAAAATACTTTGGCAGAATTTTGATATTAATTCCATTATCTTAGTATGTGTTGAATCAGCAAGACCTCTGATTTCTTCTTGAGTTAGTTTGTACATTTTGTGTTTTAAAAAGACTTGTAAGTTTTTAAATTTACTGGTATAGAGTTATTAATAATTAACAGTGTTCTCTAGCCATCCTTTTAACGTCTGTAGAATCTATTCTAGTATTCCTTTAATTAGAATTAAATCTATTACTTTTTGATGGTAATGGTATGAATTGATATTATGATGGGAGAGACTCTAAATTATATATCAAGTAACTATTATCATTCAGAAATATTATACTTTTCCATTTTTTCCCATTGTAAAATTAAAAACTCTTATAGTTCAATAATAAAAAGACAAAATAATAAAAAGACAAAAGGGATAGTAATATTATACTTATTTATTTAAAACACCGTGAGGACTATGATGATGCTCTTTATGATATATATTTAGATAAAATTAAATAGTGAAGTTTGTATTAGTGTGATGGTTTCAATCTGTAAATTGTATATGGTATATAATGTGTGCTTTGTGAATAGAAATAAATGGGAATTTTTCTTATTTTAACTAGTAACTCCCACTGCCCCATTTGTTTTTGCAGTGCTGGGTATCAAACCTAAGGCTTCTTGCTAATTATTTAGACTTTAAAAATTAATGTGATAAAAACTTTATTTATAGAGTTTTATTTTTAACTTCTCACAGGTATTACTCTGCCCTAAAAACTATGGAACAATTAGAGAACGTGTACTTTCCCCGGGTTAGTCAATACCGGTTTTGTCAGCTAATGATAGAAAATCTTCCTAAACTCCGTGAGGATATTAAAGAAATTTCCATGTCTGATCTCAAAGATTTTTTGGAAAGCATTCGAAAACATTCTGACAAAATAGGTGAAACAGCAATGAAACAGGTGAGATTAAAAATAATTTTAATTTAATATTTAATAATCTAGGATATAAAATATATTCCAAGGTTTACTTCTTTAACTTACTTGAAATGGTTTTGTTTGTTTGTTTAGTTTTACCATTTTCTTATCCTTCCTGGTTCTTGTTTAGAATAGATTTTGTAAGTGTTTTCTTTGGATTTATAGCTATTCTATACTTAAATAAAGTCAGTCTTAATTTTAATTCTTCAGTCACTCTGCTGTAGAAGTGAACTTCAGAGAAGTCTAAAGACTTCAGAACTTCACCTGAATTCTCAGTAATCTTCTCCACTTGTGTGGTGTTACAATAACTTTTGCCATTGCCAAACCTGTTATAAAATTATCTTAAAACTGACAGCCACAGAGACAGGAAGTAGCCCTTTTATGCTAAAATTCTAAATTGTTCTCTTTTTTAAAACAAAGTTTTTGAATTAAAAACTCTTACAGTTCAATAATAAAAAGACAAACAATGGTATTTGTGTACTAGAACTGAAATGCATTCTGCTGTCATGTATAACAAATTAGAACAAATAAATAAAATTAAAAAATACAAACAATAGAAAGTATTCAGCAGTTATGAAGTTATAGTTTTACCATTTGAGTCTGTGGTTCCACTCCTGATTATTTATCAATTAGAAATGAAAACATGGCCTTATGATGTTTATATCAACTATTAGTCAAAAACTGGAAAAAACTCAAATTGCTTTCACAAGGAAAGCAGAATGGATACACTAATTATGGTGTAGTCACACAGTGGAATAGTACTTAGCAGTAAAAAGAAAGGAATTACTGATAATATAACACATAGGGATCTCTCAGATAGATATGCTGAACAACAGAAGTTGAGCACAAAAAGGCACTGTTTATATGCAGTTTTAAAGCAGGCAAACAAGATTAAAAAAATCAATATAGTTGTAGGTAACTAGAAGCTTGAGTGGGAAGATTGCCTGGGAAAGGAAACAAGTGAAGACAAATATTCTATAACATGATGAAAGTGTACTGTCAAAATTGTACAGCTATGATGTGTGTATTTTAATGTATATAAATCGTACTCCAAAGAAAATTGTTTAAAAAAAGGGTATATATGGAATGAGTGGGTAAATGTATAGATGAAACAAGTATGTAAAAATTTATGGTGGATGAGTGTTGCACACCTTCATTCCAGTGACTTGGGAGGTTGAGGCAGGAGGATTGCAAGTTGTGAAGCCACCCTAGGCAATAGGGCAAGACCCTGTCTTAAAATAAATGAATAAATAAATAAGAATGTAAAAATATTACTTGGTTAGAGATTATTGGTGGGTACCTGAGAGTATGTTATATTATTTTATTTACTTTGCTTATGTTTAGAATTTTCATTGTTGAAAAGTTTTAAAATGATTATGATTTAATTCAAATTTCTAAGAACTGTTAAAACTCATAATAATAATTACATCTTAAGAATAAAACAGTGCTCAACCTGATTTCTGATGCCTGAGTTTTCTCCCCCAAGTATCACAAACTACTTTTAGGGAGGTTTTATTTTATTTTTGTAATTTAAAAAGTTCATCTGTAACAGAACAGTGTTAAATCAGAGGAAATTAAAATTCCATATATGAATTGAATTCCCTATTTTAATCTTTTAAAGGATTATCTATAAATCAGATAATTTCTGTTTTACTTCTAATTTTCTCAGCATTGCATAGTAATATACTGTATTCTATTTTTTTTCTCTTTCTATTGTGAAATTCACATAACAAAATTAATTACTTTAAAGTAAAAGATTCAGCTAGTTGGTAAAGATTTTGTACAACCATCATTTCTGTCTAGTTTCAAAAAATTTTTCGTCACCTCAGAAGGAAACCCTGTGTCCATTAAGTGGTTAGTCATGTCCCATTCTTCCCTCCTTCCAGCCTTTGGCAACCACCAATCTGTGTTATGTCTCTGTGGATTTATCTATTCTGAATATTTTGTATAAATGGAACCATATAATGTATGATCTTTTGTGTCTGGCTCCTCCATGTTAATTTTCTTTATTAATAGATTGTTTACTTGTAGGATTATTGATTTTGGAAATTCTTTACCACAACCATTTTACTTTATAAAATTAGAACCATGTATAGTAACATAGGACTTATACAATAATGTTTTCTGAAATAGCTTAGTTTTTTTCTCAGTTGTAGTTAATTCTTGCGTATGTGTAGATGAACTATACAGACTCAATTTTCAAATGATTTTTGATAGTATCTTTCATTTAGCTTAACATTTAATACTTAGTTGACAAAAAAAACTTTATTTGCTGTAAATAATAAATAGATAAATAAAGCCACAAAATAGAATTTAAGCCAAACTTACTACCTCTCTCTTCTATGGAAGCCAGGTTTGAGGTCATTTCCCCTACCAATGTGGTAATGAGAATGTGGTCTGTTGTGAGTGATAGTGTAGGAATAGAAATGGTAATTGTAGGTCAATGGGTTAGGGTTCCAACATCTGGTTAGTAACTTGAAAAAAGTAGAATCTAAGAAGATATGAGAAAATAAATTTCAAAGTCATAGTTGAGGAAAAGAATCCAGAGGTTCTGAATCTAGAAACTATGATTACCCACAGAACTCTTCCAAGGTTAGGAAAGCCCCATGTTTAGAGGGAAATTTATAGCCTTAAATTTACAAATTAGGAAAGAAAGGCTGAAGTCAATGATCTAGTAGTTCCATTTCAGGAACTTAGAGAAATAGAAAATTAAACTCAAAGAAAAAAAGAATAGAAATAAACTTTCCTACGGACAAGTATAAATATATTACAGTGAATCTCTACATCATGTACAGCCACAAGACTGGGATCCTAATTAGAATAAAATGTACTCCATGTTTGTATAAATATGTCAAATTATACTCTCCTGTCATGTGTAACTAAAAAGAACAAATTAAAAAATAAACAATGTGGCCTCTTGGTAATGTTATAAATTAAATTTTCATGGTCAGATTACATAAAACAATATAGGAAATGAGATATCAGTTATGTTATTTTTCTCAATTTGAAAATGTGAACATATTTTGATCAGTTTGGGGGGTAACAATGTGATCTGAATTTTCCTCATGGTTTAAGACATACATTAAAGGACATGGAAGTAAAAAAAATGAAAGAATATAAATAAGGACAGATATCAACATGATAGGAAATAAAATATAGTAAGTTGAATGGCAAAGCCAAAAGTTGGTTCTTCATCTTTTCAAATAAAGTTGATAAACTCCTGCAAGATTGTTTGTAAAGGAAGAGAGGAGGCACATGTCATGAGTAAACAAGCAAACACTGCTACAGATACTATACCTACATTAAAAATATAAGGAAGTATGGACAATATTTTGAACCAGTTTTTACCATAATAAATTTTGAAATAATTTGAATTCTGCTTTCCCAAAAATAGGCACAACAGCAAAAAGCCTTCAGTATTGCTCTGCAGAAGCAAAATAATGTGAAATTTGGGAAGAATATGTATATAAATCATGATAGAATTATAGAAGAAAAGCGTGAAATTGTATTGAGACATATACTTGAGGAAGAGGATGAGAATGAAGAGGAGGTAATGGGGTTTCTTTATCTATTATTGGATAATTTTTTGGATCATAATGTATATCTGTGTGACTCTTAGTTTTCCCATGAATTCATGTTGACTCTTCATCTTTCCATTGATATTGATCAGATTGCAGTAGGTTTGGAATCATCTGAAATTCTAAACTACATAACTGATAGACAAATAGGGCATATTATGTACTCAAAAACCATTGATAGTTGAGCCTGGGTGTTTTGCCATAATTAGCAGTAAAAATGTAAACCTAATGACTTTTTTATAGTAGTCTCACTTTTGAATTATCTTTGGCAAATTTTTTATTTCATAAGGTTTTGACCTTGCCATTTGCCCCAATTCTGGCTAGCTTATGCTTTTTTATTTTTTTCTAGTTGGTGCTGAAATACTGCAGAGTAATTCTATTTTTTATTACAGTTAAGTTTAAAATTTTTTTGAAGTCTTAAAAAGTCTACAAACCTTGAAATTATCTTTAAGTGTTTATTTTCTGTCACCATTGGTATCCAAATTTATTCTTTTATCTTATTGCATTTTTGATTCCCTCCACAAAGTTTTCTTTTGTGTCTTTTATCTTCTTTGAATTCTTTTGAATTTAGTTGAATTTCATTTATATCATAGGGAACCTAGTTACTCTTGGTTATTTATAAGTTTATCAATGAAATCTTAAATTCTTCTTCTAAGAATCTAATTGGGACACCATAAGAACTCTGAATTATGTGAATATGTGCTCAAAGCTTCCTCTGTAGATGGGGAAATAACTGAGTGTTCATTATATACATTTGTGCTGTATGTCTGAGGATAAGACAAAACACTCTTCTCTGTGTGTATGTATCTGTGTATATATAACATATATTGGTGCACATATATATGCAGTGAATGTCTGTTATCACTCTGAATATAGGCAGCTAAACATTTTCTTGATGCAGAATTAGTGTGTCTTGCTTCATCCCTTGAAATTATATAAGTGATTTTAAAATATACACTTTTGTTCTTTTGTAATATTCAGAGGATCTCTATTTTCTATTCTCTCTAGGAGTTCAAAATAGTAAAAACAGACCATCTAGTTTTCTTATCTCTGCTTTCCCTGGTCTGTTTTGTGTATCTTTAGCTACTTAGAGTGTTACAGTCATGCCTTAACAAGCCCAGATCTACACTCTTAGAGTTACCGTGGTGGTTTGCCTGTTCTCTTGGGTCTCTTCTACTGTTAGTACAATTTGTTTCTATCATTTTTCCCTAATAAGTAACATTATAATAAAAATAATTTAGGAAATGTGTTCTTTAAAAAAGGGTTTCATTCTACTATATTTTATTAATTCCAAGCTGCAGTTTTTCATATTATAACATTCCAGAAGTTAGTATACATCTCAAAATTGCTGGTGTCATTGTTTCAAATTGCTGCATTATTTTTTTCTTTAGTGTCCCATAAAATAATAGCGATGGTGTCTTTAATTTGTAGGTATAATGGCAAACCATATGATTTAGCTGCTTAGCAGAAGGAACTTTTGTTTTATAGGTAAACCATAAGTTCATGCATCATTTTACAAAAACAACAATGAAGCATGTAGGTATTTGTAGCAATTTTCTGGTACTCTATCAAGTACAATAAAAATAAACTTTATAATCTCAACTAGTCAACAATGGTAAAAATAGATGAAGAATAAACTACTGCAAAAATGCTATAGTAAAATAAAGCAGGTATTTGTTTATATTGTATGCTTTCTATGGGAGGATTAATTGAATATTATAAAACAAAATCCATGAGTTTTCTTGACTGTGTTATCCAATAGCAGATTAATATTTTAAACTATGATTTTTTTAAAAACTGATTTTATTTTTCAGGTCTTAACTGTTCAGGACCTTGTTGATTTTTCCCCTGTTTACCGATGTTTACACATTTATTCTGTTTTGGTAAGAATATTTCATATTTATGTATGTATACATATTTATATTATTTAAAAGGCATATATGTAGTTTAAGCCTTAAAGAATGATCATAATCTTAGATACTATAAATCTTAATACAGTAAAAATTTGTGAAATATCCAGTGTATATGCACTTCTTTTTTTAACTTACAATGATCAAATTTCAAGTAACATATTTATGTATATCATAGGAACCTTACAGTTGTGTACAGTCATGTACATATAACAATGTTTTGAATTATGATGGACTTCAAGTATGACAATGGCCCTGTAAGATTATAGGGAGCTGAGAAATTCCCCTTGGCTATTGATAGCTGTAGTCATTGTAATATCTTAGCATAGTCATTTCTTATGTGTTTGTGGTCATGCTAATATAAACAAACCTACTGTGCTGCCAGTCATTTAAAAGTAGAGCACACAAATTTCTTTATAGTATTTAATACTTTATAATAATAGTAAAAACTATATTACTGATTTATGTATTTACTTAGCATTTATTGTTATTTTAGAGTGTAGTCTTACTTAAAAAAACACAAAAGAAGGTTAACTATAAAACAGCCTCGTCCTTCAGCAGGTATTTCAGAAGAAGGCGTTGTTATCAAAGGAAATGACAGTTCCTTTTGTTGCTGCTTTCCAGTAAAATAAGATGTAGCTAAGGAAGATAGTGATATTGATGATTCTGACCTTGTGTAGGCTTAGGCTAATGTGTAGTGTTTATGTTTTGGTCTTGGTCTTTAACAAAAAAGTTTTAAAAGTAAAATTAAAAATTAAAAAACAGGGCTGGGGTTGTTGCTTGGTGGTAGAGTGCTTACCTTGAATGTGTGAAGCACTGGGTTTCATCCTCAGCAATAAATTAAAAAAAAATAAGGATATTGTGTCCATCTATAGCTAAATTTTTTAAATTAAAATAAAAAATAAAGATATTGTATCCATCTACAACTAAATTTTTTTTAAATTAAAAAACAATTGAATAGGCTATCCCATATATCCTAGGTGTATTGTATGCTGTATCATCTAGTTTTTTTGTAAGAACATTTTATGATGTTTACACAACAACGAACACAATGCAATTCTCAGAACAGATCTCTGTCATTAAGTGACACATGACTGTACTTCCATTTTTCCCCTTGTTTTTGTGGTAATGTTGCATCACATTTAATTATAATTATGTTATTTCTACATATGTTTTATTATAAAGTATGTTATTCTTATTTTTGGTTAACCAATCCCTTATCCTTTTAAAAAAAACTGCTTTATTAAAATATAATTCACATACCAAAAATTCATCCTTTTAAGGTATGTAGTTCAGTGATTTTAGCATATTCACAAGTACATGCAACTGTTTGTACTAATTCCAAAAAAAAAACATTTTATTACCTAAAAAAGAAACCCCTTGCATTAGCAGTCACTCCTCATTCTCTGCCTTCTTCCCCCAGTCCATGGCAACCACAGATTTACTCTCTGTTTCTATTTGCTTGTTCTAGTTATTTCATTTAAGTAGAATCATATTATATGTGGCTTTTAGCTTCTGGCTTCTTTTATGTAGGTGAAAGGTTTTTGAGATTTTTTTTTTAAATATTTATGTTTACAGCTATGATTTCTCTGTAAGTGCTGGTTTAGCTTTATCTCATAAGTTTTGATATGTTGTGTTTTTGTTTCTAGTTATCTCAGAAGTATTTTCTAGTTACACTTTGTAATTGTTTTCTTTAACCCACTGATTATTTGGGGGGGAGGGGAGTATTTGTTTAGTTTCTATATGTTTTTGAGTTTCCAAATGTTTTTCAGTTAGTGTTTTCAAATTTAATCTAATTTGTGGTCAAAGATTATAATTATATTTTATATGTTTTCAGCCCTTTCAAATTTATTGAGTCTTGCTTTATGGCCTAACATGTTTCTGTGTTAAGAAGAGTGTATCTCTGACTGTAGCTGGGTGATATATTCTATAGATATCTGTTTTGATATAGTGATTTTTAGAGTCATTTATATTTAATATCTAATATATTCCTGTTCGTTATCTTCCTATTCTGTTATTGAAAGTGAGAGTATTGAAGTCTCCCTCTGTGACCTTTGAATTGTCTATTTCTGTTTTCAGTTCTGCCAATTATTGCTTTATATGCTTTTGAGATTTTGTTGGTATGTGAATATATGTTTATAATTGTTGTGTCTTCCTTATAGATTGACCTTTTCTTTCCCTTCCTTTCCTTTCTTTTATTTTCTCCTTCCTTCCTGTAGTGGAAATTAAACCTAGGGTGCCCTACCACTAAGCTACATCTTTAGCCCTTTTTATTTTTTATTTTGACACAGGGTCTTGCTAAGTTGTCAAAGTTGGCCTTGAACTTGTATCTGGGAATACAGGTCTGTGCCATTGTAGTTGGTTTACATGTGTTTTTAAAGGGCCCTCCTGAAAGACTAGAGCAGATCATATCATCACCACCACCAATACAAAAGAGTAACTCCACACAAAATTGGTATTTTACTTCAAGTAAAACAAAACTAGAACTGTGGTAATTCACAGGGGAAACTATATTACTGCTAGTTAATTTACATCTTAAAAATCAAATGTTTGGAAAAAAATCAAACATTTGTTGTTTACAATAGTTTCCCCAGTTTATCATCATTGCTTTTTAATTTTGTTTGTAGATCTATAAATTTTTAGAAGGTTAAATTTGTTCATCTTCCTCCATACTTCTTTTCCCTGTTTTTATTTGGTTAGAATAGCTAATAGTAATTTATATGTTCTTCAAGTCTCCATTTAAATCCACCCAATTCTTTTTGGAATACAGTGAGTTAAAAATAAAATTCTCATTAGCTTCCTGAGTTGTTGGGATTGCATACTCCTGATTCTGATCCACTTTTCATCTTAAATGTCCCTTTTTTTGGTAATGTTTTTTGGTTTGAAATCTATTTTAGCTGATAAAAGTCTATCTTTTGGGTGCTGTTAACATAGTGCAGTTTTCCCATCCTTCTACTTTTAAGATCTTTGGGTCTTTGAACATAAATTGTATCTTATACAGATAATATATGGTTTAATTTGTTTTTTTTAAAATCTAATCTGCTAATCTCTGTCTTTCACTGGCCTGTTTAGTTCATGTACATTTAATGTAATTACTGATATGGTAGGACTTGAGTCTGCTGTTTGCCATTTGTTTAAACATGTCATATGTCTTTTTGTCCTCTATGTTAAAAGCATTTAAAAAATGTTATAAAAGGGTTACATTAAAATGTATGAAATAGATCTGTTTACTGTAGGTCCATTTTAGCCCCATGTTCAAAAATTTTAAGAGAGCATTTCCTTCTTTATTTAATCAACTATAAGTGTTTCATGAAAGCAAATAGGTATACTATTAAAAAGCAGGGCTCTCTTTGGAAAATGGTGCAAACAACATCTATATTATAGCTTATCATACTCATCCTAAGAGCGTGCGTGGTGAATTTTCTTAGGTGACCATGTTTTAAACTTTTGGTGAGTTAAGGGACTATTTTGTTAGAAATCTGAATGAATTAATTTTTGGAATGTATTAGACAAATACAAAATCTTGTGTGAGAATTGCTGTCTTAGGCATTTTAAAAGTATATGAATGCTTTTCAAGGAGTCCTGGGCTAAAAATTAAAAAAAAAATGTTTGAATTCTCATCTTTTTCCTAAAAATGACCTTTCTTGGACACAGCCTGTTTGCATAATAGTTCTTCTCTTAATGTTGATGCTCTGCCTAAATCCCTTTGAAGCCCTGTCTTAGGAGCTAGAAGTGCCTTGGAGTCTATTACCACTACGATCCATACCATGTGACCAGGATTAAAATTAGTCAGTCACTGTATGAGGGTATGGCAGTTTAGAAACCTAGATTCTTTGCTTCAATTAGGACAACTCTAGAGTTACAACTTATACTCTAACTTTATATTGTGGAATCAAGCTGAAGCCAAATTTCTTGGCAATTCTTTACCTAAGATGGGATCCTGGATTGGCTTCCTGTTGTTCTTTTGCTTGCTTTCTTCATTTTTTGAGCAGTTTCCTTTTTGAAGCATTTCTTTAGTATATTATTGATCTTAGTTCTGTTCCTAGGAAAGCTACCTAAGATACTGTTGTATTCATTATCTATTTGCTGCATAAAATACTTGTTTAACATAATAAATATTTACTGCTTCACAGGGTCAACTGTCTGGGTGTGGCTTACCTGCTGGTTCTGCCTAAAGTCTCTCATGAGTTCTAGTTAAGAAGTCAGTGAGGGCTACAGTCATCCAAAGGCTTGAAAGGGGCTGGAGGATTTTTTTCTTCAATGGATTGATGGCAGAACGCTCTTTACAAGGCCGCCTTTACAGTCCTTATGACATGGCAGCTGACTTCCGCTGGAGTGATACAAGAGAGAAATCAAGATAGATGGAAGCCATAAGATTTTTTATAACTTAGTATCCAAAGTGGCATAAAGCAAACATAATAGCTTTATCCAAACATAAAGCTATTATGTTTGCTTTATCCTATTGGTCACATAGACCAACTGTGATATAAGGTAGAGGGGAACTACACAGAATATGAATATCATGAGGTATTCTTTGGAAGCTATCTTATAGACAACCCCACTGTTTATCAAAGAAAGTTGTGTCCTTCACTAATATTCAAGACTACCACGATGCATTGTCTTGATCTGTAAAACGCTTCCAGAATGTCACAGAAAAAAGAAGAAACTATATGCACATAAGGGTGCCTTTCTTTCCTGTCTTACACAGTTTCCTGTTAAGGGTAAATTATATTAGAAACAATATATTTTGTCCTATGGTGGGGTGTTCTTAGTTCACATACATAGTAGGGAATAATGACATACTTGCCAGTAATATTAATTTACTCTTTTTTTTTTTTTTTGGTACTGGGGATTGAACCCAGGGGCATTTAACCACTGAGCCCATTCCCAACTCTTTTTTATTGTGAGACAGGGTTTTGCTGAATTGTTTAGGGTCTTACTAAGTTGCCAAGGCTTATCTCGAACTTGAGATCCTCTTATCTCAGCCTCCTGAGTCGTTGGATTTATAGTCTTGTGCTACTGTGCACAGCACCAATTTACTCTTAATGACCTGATTTCTTTTATTTCTAACTATTGACAATATAGTTATTCCTTACTATGTTACATTTAAGAGAGAGTCGTCTAATAGTATAGCATGGAAAACATAGAAAAGTTTGAATGCTTAAACTATGTCTTGTGCATTAAATGATTTCGGCAGATGTTAATACCCTTCTTTAGGATGTGTTGTTTGCTGTAAAGAAAAATAACTTTCAGTAGCCAAAATGATATGGATTAGTGAAGTTGAGTTTTTAGAACAGAACTGGCATGTTTTCTGGGGTTGTTGAAAGTTTTAAGTGACATTGACCAATCCCATTCTTGAATTCATGTACATTACGATTCAGTGAAATGGTTATAAATGTTTTACCATCTCTGAGAAGTGTCTGTTTAGTTCCTTGGCCCATTTATTGATTGAGCTATTTGGGTCTTGCTGAGTTGCTTAGGGCCTCCTAAATTGCTAAGGCTGGCTTTGAACTTGGGATCCTTCTGTCTCAGCTTCCCAAGCCCCTGGGATTATAGGATACGCCACCACACCCAGCTAACTTTTCCATTCTTAGTCTGTTAACAAATTGTCCATATTCATCTAGATCACCAGTATAAGCTCATCATTTAGAAGAATGCTTGGCATGTGGAAGGCACTCAAAAATATTTGTTGAATGAATAATTAAACAAATAAATGAATGACTATATATCCATCTTCTCTATCTTCTCTGTTTCAAAGAATTCATTCAGAGCCAGAAGACAATGTTCAAAGCCAGCCTTAGCAATTTAGGAGGCCCTAAGCAACTCAGCAAGACCCTGTCTAAATAAAATATAATAAAAGGTTTAGGGATGTGGCTCAGTGGTTAAGTGCCCCTGGATTCAATCCCTGGTACCCTCCCCCCAAAAAAGGAAAAGTTAGATTTCTGTTGTTCACTGTGGTAGCCACTAGTTAAATGTAGCCATTTAAGTTGAAATTAGTTAAAATTAAGCAAAATTGAAGTGTGTCAGTCCTATTAAGCTGCTTCAAATACTCTGTTGCCACATGTCACTAGTGGCTACCATAGTAAATAGTACAAACATAGAATACTTCTACCATCATAGAAAGTTTCATTGGGTAGCACTGAGATAGACTAATAATTGGGGAATTACAGCACAGTATAAATGCTGTGATAGGGAAGTACAGATTGTTGTGGTATAATAGAAAATAACAAGCCTGTAGAAATTAGGGAAAGCTTTCTAAATGAAGTATCATTAATGGCAAATCTTGAAAAGATGTGTAAAAATTGTACAGAGAAGGGAAACTGCAAGTATATTTCAGAAATAGCCAGCACAAAAGCCTGGCAGTGAAAAGAAATTTTGTATTAGATATTCTAAGAGTTAAGGTGTGGCAAGAGATGAAACAGGAGATTGAGGAAGAAACCAGATCATTATATAGGACCTTATATAACATATTCAGAAGTTTAGGCTTGGTGGCTAATATCTCTTTATTTCCTTCCTTCCTTCCTTTTTTTTTTTTTTTTTCTGGTTGCATTAGGGAATTCCTTTCTTGCCCTTGAACATGCTAGGCAAATTCTCTACAACTAAGTTACACCTCCAGTCTTTTTAGATTTTATTTAGAGACAGGAGTTCACTAAGTTGCTCAGGGTGGCCTTGAATTTCTGATCCTCTGTCATCAGCCTCACGAGTAGCTGGGATTCAAATGTCACCCAACACAACCAGCTTGACAGCTAATCTCTAGTTTCTCTTATTAACTTCCAGATTGTCTTGGCATTCAAAAATATATAAAGCTTAAGTGATAAGTTGGGAAAGTGTCAAATGTTTGCACTTTATTTGTCATGATATTTAAGATACCAAATAAAGTTGCTGTCTTTGCTAAAATGACAAAAACCCTTTCTTGACATTCAGTATGAAATCCATTCAGCATTTATTTTCCAGTTAGAAAGTTTAAAATGACTCTTAGTGGGTTAATTACTCTTAGCAATAAATGTATGTGTATGTGCACACATGCAAGCTTGAATTTTTCTTATTCTACTGACTTTATTATTTAGGGTGATGAAGAAACATTTGAAAATTACTACCGAAAACAAAGAAAGAAACAAGCAAGACTGGTATTACAACCCCAATCAAGTATGGTAAGTATGTTAAAATTATTTATTAGCTTTGTTGGTACTTTTTATCCCCTTATCCTGCTTTAATTTCTTCAGAGCATGTGTCACTATTCATTCAACTACAAATATCTGTTGAACATTTACCTTTTGTAGTAATTTGTTTAGGTGCCAAGGATACAGCACTGAACAAAATTAAATCCCTTTTCCCATGAGTTTGCCTTCTACTAGGGAAGAAAATGAATAATAGTAAAAGATAAAAATGAATATGTAAAATGTCAGGGAGTAATAATTAGTTCCTGATCATATGGGAAACTGTGTATGTTGATTAATTGTCACACCTAAAGATGCTGGATAGACATTTAAGTTTTTTTTAAATTTCTTTTTAAAAGCACAGAAGACCTGACAGAATAGTATAATCAGGCCAAAAACTAAGTGAATGTAGAACTCTTCTATACGTTGATTGTGGTAATAGTTAATGTGACTAGTTTGTGGAAGCTCATAAGAAACTGCATATGAAAGAGAGTGAATTTTGTTGTATGTAATCTTTATCTCAATACATCTGACTACAAAACAGATGAGTGAAATAAGAAAACCTAAAGGAAAGGAGAAACTCAGATAGGTTTGGTGAGGGACTGTTTTAGTCAGCTTTTATACTGCTGTGATTAAAGACCTGACAAAAACAATTTTATTGGAGAAAAAGTTTATTTGGGAGTTCATAGTTTCAGAGGTCACAGTCCATAGATAGCCAGCTCCATTCCTCAGGGCACATGGTGAGGCAGAACATCATGGCGAAAGTGTGTGGTAGAGGGGAACAGCTCACATGATGATCAGGAAGCAGAGAGAGAGTCCACTCATCAGATATAAAATATGTACCCCAAAGGCATGCCCCCAATTCCTACCTCTGCCAGCTATACCCTACCTGCCTTCAGTTACCACTCAGTTAATCCCCATCAGGGAATTAATTCACCGATTGAGTTAAAGTTCTCATAATCCAATTAGTTCACCTCTAAGCCTCCTTATATTGTCTCACACTGAGCTTTTGGATGACACCTCATATCTAGACCATAACGGGGATTGAATGTAGTTTTTATTGTAGGAGCATATATTGAATTGGAAAGCATACATTTCAGGATATGGAGTTCAGAGGGTTAAGCCCAGGGCCAAACCAAAGTAGATGTCCTGTTAGAAATTATATCCCTTTTAAAGCCCCATTATTAGGATGTCCTACAAATAAAACCATCTAAAATCTTCTCTATTCCTTCTTGCAAATACTATAAAGAAAATTACTTATCTCAGATGTCATTGCTGAGTGAACAGGGAGAAAAAATTCTTTTGAGGATTCATTAGAAGTTTGTCACATGTGTTTGCAGCTCAAATGCATTCTTGTTGGATAGTCAAAAAAAAAAATCAACTGAAAGTTTAGTTTAAAGTTGCTCCATGGTGACATTGCTTTCAAGTGTCTGGCAGAAGTGAATGTAGATCTTTGCACTTTCATTCCAGAATTAAAGAGTATTCATAGTTAAAGTTTTAAGGAAAATTTAGCAATTCACAGTCAAAAGTAATTACCAGATAAGTGAGAATCATTTACCCCTCACACATCAGACAGCGCACTAATCTCTAGGGTATATAAAGAACTCAAAAAGCTAAGCACCAAAAAAGCCCAAATAACCCAGTCAATAAATGGGCCAGGGACCTGAACAGACACTTCTCAGAAGAGAATATACAAGCAATCAACAAATACATGAAAAAATGTTCATCATCTCTAGCAATTAGAAAAATTCAAATAAAAACTAAGATATCATCTCATTCCAGTCAGAATGGCAGCTATTATGAAAACAAACAACAGTAAGTGTTGGTGAGGATGTGGGGGAAAAAGTACACTCATACATTGTTGGTGGGACTGCAAATTGGTTCAGCCAATATGGAAAGCAGTATGGATATTCCTTGGAAAACTGGGAATGGAACCACCATTTGACCCAGCTATCCCTCTCCTTGGTCTATACCCAAAGGACTTAAAAACAACATACTACAGGGACACAGCCACATCAATGTTTATAGCAGCACAATTTACAATAGCTAAATTGTGGAACCAACCTAGATGCCCTTCAGTAGAGGAATGGATAAAAAAAAAATTGGCATATATAGACAATGGAATATTACTCAGCAATAGAAGAGAATAAAATCATGGCATTTGCAGGTAAATGGATGGCGTTGGAGAAGACAATGCTAAGTGATGTTAGCCAATCCCAAAAAGCCAAATGCCGAATATTTTCTCTGATGTAAGGTGACTGACTCATAGATGGGTAGGGAGGGGGAGCATGGGAGGAATAGACGAACTCTAGATAGGGCAGAGGGGTGGTAGGGGAAGAGAGGGGGCAGGGGGTTAGCAATGATGGTGGAATGTGATGGACATCATTATCCAAAGTACATGTATGAAGACATGAAAAAAAAAGAATATTGATAACAGAAAAAGGTGGTGAAAGTTACAAACCTTTGAGTATAAAATAACACTATTTAATATGCTTAAAGTAATAAAAAGTAAGCTTTCTAAGAAATATAATAAGGAACAGAAACTACAAAGAATGACCAAACAGATGTGAAGAAAACAGAATATCTAGAAATTAAAGATACATTAACTGAAGTTAAAATGTTATGAATGGGTGTTAACAGTTCATTAATCATTTCTTTGTTGATCTGAAGATATTACCTAGAAAGCATCACAGGGAAATGAAAGAAAAAAAATCAGATGAGAGACATAGAAGATACAAAGATACTAGAGTTCTCATGTGTGTGTGTAAGAAGGGAGTTTCAGAAAGAGAGTAGAACAAATGGGACAGAGGAATATTTGATGATGTATGTCTGATAATTTTTTGAAGAGATGAGAAATGAAAATTCACAGTCAAGCCCAAAGAATCCTAAATAGATTAAAGAAAAAGAAACATATTCTCAGAAACCCTATAATGAGATTTCAGAATATCAATGTCAAAGATAATGTAGAAGACTGAAAAACATTATCATATTATCTTGATCTCACTGACATTTATTGAATACTTCATCCAAAACAGCAGAATTCATGTATGTTTCAGGTGCACATGGAAGACTCACAAGACAGATCATATTCTGGGCCGTAAAACGAATATCAACATATATAAAAGGCTTGAAATCATACAAAGTTTGTGTTCTATTCACAAGATATTATATGATTCCATGCAATAGAAAAAAGGAATATTAACTCTTAACCTCATTTAGCAATTTAAAAAATGGATCGTAGACCTAAATGTAAGAGCCAAATTTATAAACTTTTAGAAAGAAAGAAAGGTAAAACCTTTGTGACCTTGGATTGGGCAGCATTTCTTTAGGTAAGATACATAAAGCATGAACGATTTTAAAAATTTGATGAATTGATGTCTGGTATAGTGATGCCACCTGCTTCACTCTTCCTGCTAAGGATTGCTTTAGCTATTCTGGGTCTCTTATTTTTCCAGACGAATTTCATGACTGCTTTTTCTGTTTCTGTGAGGAATGTCATTGGGATTTTGATCAGAATTTCATTAAATCTGTATAGTGCTTTTGGTAGTATGGTCATTTTTATAATATTAATTCTGCCTATCCAAGAGCAAGGTAGATCTTTCCATCTTCTAAGGTCTTGTTTGATTTCTCTCTTTAGGGTTCTGTAGTTTTCATTATATAGATCTTTCACCTCTTTCATTAAGTTGATTCCCAAATATTTTATATTTTTTGAGGCTATTGTAAGTGGAGTAGTTTAAAAACAGTATGGTATTGGCACCAAAACAGACTGGTAGACCGATGATACAGAATAGAAGACACAGAGACTAACCCACAAAATTATAATACCTTATATTAGACAAAGGTGCCAAAAACATGCAATGAAGAAAAGATAGCCTCTCCAACAAATGGTGCTGGGAAAAATGGAAATCCATATGCAACAAAATGAAATTAAACCCCTCTCACCATGCACAAAACTCAAATCAAAATGGATCAAGGATCTAGGGTTAAAACCAGGAATAAAACTATTAAACCTGCATCTAATAGAAGAAAAAGTAGGCCCTAATCTTCATCATCTGTGATTAGGCCCCAACTTCCTTAATAACACTCCTTTGGCACAAAAATGAAAATCAAGAATCAGTAATGGGATGGATTCAAACTAAAAAGTTTCTTCTCAGCAAAAGAAACAATCTGTGAGGTGAATACAGAGCCTACATCTTGGAAGCAAATCTTTACCCTCACATATCAGATAGAGCACTAATCTCTAGGGTGTATAAAGAACTAAAAAAGCTAAGCACCAAAAAAAAAACCCAAACAAATAACCCAATTAATAAATGGGCCAAGGACCTGAACAGACACTTCTCAGAAGAGAATATACAATCAATCAACAAATATATGAAAAAAACATTCATCATCTCTAGCAATTAGAGAAATGCAAATCAAAACTAAGATATCATCTCATTCCAGTCAGAATGGCAGCTATTAAGAACACAAACAACAGTAAGTATTGGCGAGGATGTGGGGAAAAGGTACACTTACACACTGTAAATTGGTTCAACCAATATGGAAAGCAGTGTGGAGATTTCTTGGAAAATTGGGAATGGAACCATCATTTGACCCAGCTATCCCTCTCCTTGGTCTATACCCAAAGGACTTAAAAATAGCATACTACAGTACACAGCCACATCAATGTTTATAGCAGTACAATTCAAAATAGCTAAATTGTGATACCACCTAAATGCCCTTCAATAGATGAATAGATAAAAAAAAGTGTGGCATAGATACACAATGGAATATTATTCAGCAATAGAAGAGAATAAAATCATGGCATTTGCAGGTAAATGGATGGAGTTAGAGAAGGTAATGCTAAGTGACGTTAGCCAATCCCCAAAAGCCAAATGCCGAATATTTTCTCTGATATAAGGAGGCTGATTCATAGTGGGGTTGGGAGGCAAAGCATGAGAGGAATTGATGAACTCTAGATAGGGCAGAGAGGTGGGAGGGGAAGGAAGGGGGAATGGATTAGAAATGACGGTGGAATGTGATGGACATTATTATTCAAAGTACATGTATGAAGACATGAATTGGTGTGAATATACTTTTTATACAATCAAAGATATGAAAAATTGTAATACATTCCCTTATCATATATAAATTAAAAAATTAATTAAAAAAATAAAACCCAATAACAGATTATTTTTAAAGAGCTATTATATAGACTGGTCTTATGAGTCATATTATGTCTATTAAAATAATTTTGATATCCTCAAAAACAAACAAACAAAACTTGATGAATTGAATAGCAAAATTAAAAACTTCTGCTGTTCAAAGCCATTGTCAAAATACCCCAGTTAATGAATGGGCAAAAGAACTAAACAGACACTTCTCAAAAGAAGAAATACAAATGACCAATAAATATATGAAAAAATACTCAACATTCCTGTCAATCAGGGAGATGCAAATCAAAAGTATATTGTGATTCCATCTTACCCCAGTTAGAATGGCAGTCATCAAGGATACAAATAATAAATGTAGGAGAGGATGAGGGGAAAAAGGTACACTCGTACATTGTTGGTGGGAATGCAAATTACTATAACCACTTTGGAAAGTAGTATTGATATTCCTCAAAAGACTAGGAATAGAACCACCATATCACCCAGCGATTTCACTATGGGTATTTATCCAAAAGAACTAAAATCAGCATACTATGGTGATACAGGCCTGTCAATGTTTATAGCAGTGTAATTTACAACAGCTAAGTTATGGAATCAGCCAAGGTCCCTATCAACAGATGAATGGATTAAGAAAATGTGGTATGTACAGAGTGGAGTTTTATTCAGCCATAAAGAAAAATGAAAGAATGGCATTTGCTAGTAAATGGATAACACTAGTGAACATCATGCTAAATGAATTAAGCCACACTCAGAAAGTCAAAGGTCAAATGTTTTCTCTCATCCATGGAAGTTAAAGCAAAGTAAGGGAAAAAGGGGGGCATGGGGGTTTGGAGGTAGGAATCAGATCTCAAAAAAATAAAAGAGAGAAAACAGTGGTGTTACAGGAAAGAGATTGAGGGGAGGGAGGAGGAATGGGAAAAGGGAGGAAAAGAAGGAAATGCAGAATGAATTTGAGGAAATTACAGTATGTACCTATATAAATATACCACAGTGAATTCCATCTTTATGTACATCTATAAAACACCAATTAAGAAATAAATAAATAGGGCTGGGGTTGTGGCTCAGAGGTAGACTGCTCACCTAGCATGTGTGAGGCACTGGGTTCGATCCTCAGCACCACATGAAAATAAAGATATTGTGTCTACCTACAGCTAAAAAATAAATACTTAAAAATAAATAAGTAACAGAAGGAAGATAAGTAGAATAAAGGAGGAAGGATAGGGAGATGGAGGGGGGTGAGCGGGAGAGAGAAAGTGCTAGGGACTGAAATGGAGACAGCTAAATTCCATGTATATGTGATTATGTCAAAATGAACCCCACTATTATGTGTAACTATAATGAACTTATAAAAACATTTTTTAAAAAGGCATTTTCAAGAAAATCAAAAGGCAAGACACACATTTGGAGAAATATTTGCAAAACTCATGTCTAACAAAGGGCTTATATCCAGAATATAAAAATAACATATAATTCAACAGTTAAAAGACAAACAAACTAGCTTTGAAAATGACAATAAAAATTTGAATAGACATTTTATCAAAGATATACAGATGGTAAATAAACACATGAAAAAATGTTCAGTATAATTTTTTGTCAGGAAAATGTAAGCTAAAACCATAGTGAATTGCTATGACATACTTACTAGGATAACTGACTTTAAAAAAATTGATAATACCAAGTGCTGATGAGGATGTAGAACAGTTAGAATTCTATTATACTGTGGTGGGTATAGAAATTACCCTGCCACTTTGAAAAACAGTCTGGCAATTTAAGATAATGAATTATCATAAAACCCTACATCCCCAATCCTAGATTTTTACTCAGAAGAAATGAAAATATGTTTTTATACAGTGGTTCATATGTGAATGTTTATAGTAGTTTTATTAATAAATGTCAAAACTTGAACCAACCTGAATTTCTGTGAACTAGTTGATAAATTGTGGTTAATCCACATGAGTAGATAAACAAATTGTTGCATATCATATAATGGAATACTTCTCAGCAATAAAAAGGAATTGATAAACATAGATAAATGGATACACTTCAAAAGCATTATTCTGAGTAAGAAAATTAGATAATGAAGTTATGTTATTTGACATTTTTGAAAAGGCAAAACTGTGGGACAGAATGGGTTAGTGGTGGTCAAAGACTGGGAGTTGGGCAAATAGTTCACTGCAAAAGGGTATAAAGAAACTTTATGAGCTAAAAATCTAGTTATACTTTTTGATTTTGATAGTGATTACACAACTGTCTACATCTGTCAAAATTTAGTGAACTCTGTAGAAAAAGAGTTGGTTTTATGCTATGTAAATTATATGCCAATAAACTGTACATAAAAACAAAGATAAATCAATCTTAGAATACTCAGAAGAGATAAAAACAAAGATAAATCAATCTTAAAATCCTCAGAAGAGATTATTATCAAGTAAACAAGACAATGAAATATTATCAGTGCTGAACAAAAATAACTGTCAACCTAGGAAACAAGGTCAAAGATACATATTTTAAACAAAGAAAAGCAGAACTTAAGGAAAATTTAAAAGAAAAGGAAAAAGGAAAGTGAGACCATGTGGAAGATAGGAGATGTGAAGAGGAATGAATAGTGAAGAAAGTATAAATATGTAGATAAACCTATGTTGACGGTACAAAATTTTCAATAAGATATTATGGACTTAAGATGGAATTAAAATACAAAATAATAACATAAACATTAGAATGAGATTGGAGTTAATGAAAGTGTCTGAATTGTCCAGAAGAGCAGCAAAAATGTTTGACTAATTTTAGAGTTTGATTACTTACAGATATATAATGTGGTGTTTAGGGTAATTTCTAAAGGAATAAAAACCAAGTATATACTTTCATATAATACAAGATAAAGCCTATAATGACAAAAAAATAAAATATATGTGTGTCTTAGAGTTGTTAAAAATTATAATTATAAACCTGTGTGCACTTAATAACATTGATTGGAAATATTTAAAGCAAATTTGCCATAATTACAAGGAGAAGTGGAAATATCCACAAGCATGGTAGATTTTCAGTTGTCTCAGTATCTTGAAAGCCAAGTGGACAGAGTGCCAGTAAGAATATACAGTACACTTAAGAGGCTTGATCTAATGAAACATAGAGAACCCTATTTCAACAGTTGCACATACGTATATATACTCTTTTAGAGTACACATGGGATAATAAAAAACATTTTTAATTACATTCTGTATAGAATAAAGCAAGTATCAAGGAATATCAAACATTTGGTGTCATTGTAAACTATAGTTTCTGAGCACAGTATTTTTTAAGTTAGCAGGTATTAACAGTCTTCTCCCTGCAAAAATTGAAAAAAAAAAGGCCCAGAAATTTGAAAATTTGATCACGTTTATGAAATATGCAAATATATAATTTGAACAATAGAAATATGAAATATTTTCTACCAGCAAGTTTTTATCAATGACAAGTCAGGTGATCAAATGTTTTCTTTTATGCCTTTTGTTAAAATGATAAACAATGGGCAAATGTAGACTATTTTTAAGAAGTTAAACTTGTTATATGAAAAGGCACTAAAAGTTTTTTTTTGGCGGGGGAAGTTCCTGGGGATTGAACTCAGGGGCACTTGACCACTGAGCCACATCCCCAGCCCTATTTTGTATTTTTGTTTAGAGACAGGGTCTCACTGAGTTGCTTAGCATCTCACTTTTGCTGAGGCTGGCTTTGAACTCAAAATCCTCCTGCCTCAACCTCCTGAGTACTGGGATTACAAGTGTATGCCACTGCATCAGGCACTAAAAGTTCTTTTTGGCAGAAGATGTAATGTTCTGATTATTGTTTGAAAAGCATTATCCTGCAGCTATATGAGAATATACCATAGGAGGCAAGGCTGGAAGCTAGGGAGACTAGGTAGGAAAATGATGCGTTAACCCAAGTAAGAGATGATGGTAGTTTCAACTTGGGTGCTGAGAGGGGGTTCTGAAATCCTATTTACTTTTAACTTATTTAATGTCTTATCTTCTTTCATATGTAAGCACTTTTTGTTATTTACATGTGTATTTCTGGTACCTAAAAATATATGTAGCATACAGTAGGCTGTCAATAAATATTTGTTAGTGAAGTTGTAGTAATTTGGAACCTTTATATCACTGGTATTTATTGGTTTAAATGGTTTTTGTTTTTCATTTAAAGCATGAAACAGTTGATGGCTATAGAAGATATTTCACTCAAATTGTAGGGTATGTATCTAATATGGAAGCAACTATTATTAATTTTAATTATGTTAAACATAAGAAATAAACATTTTCTATTTGGGCTTTTAAAAAATTTTTTTAACACATGCTGTGTTGGTAATTGCTATTCTAGGTTCTTTGTTGTGGAAGATCATATTTTACATGTAACTCAAGGATTAGTAACCAGGGCATACACTGATGAACTTTGGAACATGGCCCTCTCAAAGATAATTGCTGTCCTTAGAGCTCATTCAGTAAGTCAGACAATTTTTGTTACTAAAATTTTAATTCGGTTACTTCAAGAACTTTGGAGTTACACAATTCAAAGGAAAACTGTACTTCCATCTTTCTGCATTTTTTTTGATAATTTCTTCAATTTGAAAGCAGTAATGTTAGGCCTTTATGTTTCTGGTAATATCACTCTGGATTTTGCAACTGACGGGGGCTTCCCAAGACATTTTTATTCTAGCATTATAGAAAATGAAGAATTAAGCTGGTCTCATTAGTCTCAACTGACCTCTTTATTGGATCACTGAAAAGCACCATGAAGAAAGGATTTTTAATTATCATTCCAAATTCTTTGTTTCCAAAATAAGCTCCACCATTAAAACTCAATAGAACTTGTTTTTCAATGTTTATAATTTGCAGTAGTACACTACAATTATGAATTTATGAAAAATTTTCAGTTTTAAAAAGTTGAACTCATTTTAAATAATGAACCTTTGTGTAATGAGAAGTTTTTATGGACTAAAATTGAGCAAATATTTTCCTAAGGCTTTTTGTGGAAATCATAAATATGTTAGTGTCATAAGCAAGATTGAAATTAAAAATTGGTCACTGTAGAGTTTTCTTTAATAAGACAGTCTAAACTGTCTTAGTTTACTAACCCTCAGTAAAATATCACCGTATTCAAATTTTATAATCTGATATTTATAATAATTTTATTATTGATTAAATAGAGATTTAAAATATCTTGAGGGAGGATTAATTATCATATATAATATTTAGATTGTAAACACACTACATTTTTATTTATCAGGAATCTAGATGCACTATCCTATGAACTGGAACTTTTTCTGACATATTAATAAAGAGTAATACTTTTTTTTTTGTGGGGGGGGTGGGTGTTGGAGATCAAACCCAGGACCTCACACGTGCTAGGGAAGTGCTCTACCACTGAATAATACATTTTATCAGATCAGCTCTAAGTATATAAAATTATGGTATGTTTCCTATTAATTCCATGACATTAAATGTTAAATTATATTATTAAATGCAATATATCATGTTCAAAATCTCATTAAATGCTGTTAAAAAATAATCCCAGATATTTTAATTGTTATTCTTATGTTAAAAAAAATACATTATATCTTTTTATAAGAAGGGGAATAAATGAATGAAAACTAAAAATGCATGGTCTATATTAAATCCATTGTGTCAGTTTAAAATAACTAGTTTCCTAAAATCTTAAAAATTTTATAAATATAAGTATTATTGTTTTGTCCAAGGTTTATCATGTGCAAATTTCAGAAAAAAATACAGTTACTTTAAATATCTCCCTAAAAATTTATACCAAGTAGAAGAAGCCAGCTGTGGATCTGACTAATAAAGATTTTAATTTTATTGTGAAGTCTGTTAAATTAAAAGAAACTTTTTTGGGGTTCTTATTTCTTAATTTTTAATTAAATGTCTCTGTCTTCCCCCCACCCTCCCACCCTGTGTTGTGTTTCCATCTCCACACTAACCCATCCTTGTTCCCTCAGTCTTATTGCACTGATCCTGATCTTGTTCTGGAGCTGAAGAATCTCATTGTAATTTTTGCAGATACTTTGCAGGTGAGTAATAACCTAACGTTCAATTAATGGCTGTTTTGAGCACTTAAAGACATACAAAATACAGAGCATGCTCATTTATTTTATTGTGGATTAATGGTAGTAAACAGGTAGTAATAAATGTTTACTTATGTATTAGCATTCTCCTATTACCTCAAACTATTCATACCACTTCCTTCTAAAATAACAGAGAATTGATTGCATTTTTGTTTTTATGCTTAAACTTATGGGATTTTATGGTTAGAATTAAGTTTTTTTATTAAACACAGGCTAGCATTTTTGTAAGTATGAAACAGCTATATTTGCATATTGTTAGATATGCAACAAAAAGGAGTTTTTGTCAGAATGTGAATTAACTATATTATTAAGTACAGTGTTTAGGTCAATTGGCATCTTGCTATGGGTGATAATTTGTCAGTGTAGTTTAACAACATTGATTTATCTTCTGGTACAAGCTCCTTATCTCTTTGTAGATCATTACAAACAGTTTTTGGATTGGCACTTTCAGAACGACTAAATCTAGAGTATTTGACATGGTTCTAAGGACCTTTGCAGGAAATCAAAGAAAACTGGAAAATTGTTGCATTGGAAAAGCAGCAGTGATGGTTATGTAAATCCTTGCCAAGGATACCTTTCTAATCTTACTACTTTAAAATAAGATTAAGGAGGACACCAGTTCTTTTCACTTATTCAGAAATGCTGCAGTTTTCATTTTGCTGAAAATTGACAGACTTATTATTTGGAGGATTTTTATCTGGCTTGTAAATTTAAACCTATTGAAGAATGGACCTGTCTTTTTCATTAAAACCAGTTAAGGAATGTCATATAATTTTTTTCTGGTACTAGGGATTCAATCTAGGGATGCTTTACCATGAGCTGCATCCCCACTCCTTCTAATGTTTTTTATCTTGAGACAAAGTCTCATAAAATTGCTGAAGCCTATCTGGAACTTGTAATCCTTCTGTCTCAGCTGCCCAAGTAGCAGGGATTACAAGCATGTGCCACTGCACCCAACTAATTTTTAGTTTTTTAAATTGGCCATCTTAAGGAAATTTTGCTTTTTAAAGTACCAGTGTTTTATCATTTAAAACAAGGTGACTAAACAATAAAATAAAAAGTAACACCAGCACATTTCTAGTTCTGCTTACTGACTGTTAGGCAAATTGAAAGTAAACATAGATTGATTTATTCATTAACACTTTTTAAGCATCCTTTTAGCAGTTATTTGATATATAAAATGGTGGAGCCATAGAAATTAGTAAGAAAGTATGGGCATAGAAATCCTTAGTTTTAATAAATTCAATTTACTTGTAAACAAATAATGAATTTAATAAACAATATAATAAAACAATATGTTAAAGAGCACTAGCTCACAGAAGATAGAATGACTAATTTTGATTCCAGGAGTTGGGGAAGGCTATATACAGAGAGTTGAAATTTAAGCTAGATTTTGAAGGATGAGTTCAGCAAGCTGATAGGAAGGAAAGGACATTAAGAGAAAAGCATGTGCAAAGTATAGATCTAGTTTGGGATGGTGAATTCGAGACTGATTTAGCAACTTGATTATGTTAGAAACTAGTATGTGGGTATGAGCAAGGAAGTACAAATAGTGGTGATGAAATTGATGAAGTAGTTTAAATTAGATTGTGGCAGGTCTTGTGGGAGGGAGTTTAGTAAATCTTTTTTACTTTTTAGGGGGAATGGTATGATTGGGTTTGCACTTTTGAATGGTTGGTAATTTTGAGGGTTGAGAATCTATTCAGTTGAAATAGGTGGGTGTGATTTTAGTTTAGGAAACCCTTACAATGGCCTATGCAAGGGATGTGAAGGACCTGAAATAATTCAGTTTTCCTGGGAATATTTCTAGAAGAACGAAAGATTTGAAGGAGATTTGTGAAGGAGGAAAAAATGAAAAGTTTTCGGTGACTGATTAAATATATATAAGGGAGTTTAGGTGATTTTAAAGTTTTTCTCTTGAAAAACTGTATTGATGATAGAATTATTACCATAGATAGAAAGTAAGAAGACACATGGTTTAGTTAGAAAGGGAGAAAATAAGTTAATTTTAATGTGATTGTTGGCTAACTGAGTGGATTTTCTAACAAGATGTTGTAATTTATTGGAATTAATTGTCTGGAATTTAGAGAGGTCTAGCTAGACATATGGATTCAGAATAATCAGAAAAATAGTGATTAAAGTCATTAGAGTTAATATTGCTCTAGAGAATTAAAAGAAAAGGTAGAAGGACAGTGATAGAAATTAAACAAGGAACTGGAAGGATTGTTTATAGATGTAAAGAACAAGGAGAGTAAGGTGGTGTTACAGAATTCAAAGCAGAGGAGTTTCAAGGAAGAGGTCTCCCTTGAGATCATGGAATTTTATATTTAGGAGATAATCTTTCACATTGTTGAGCAGTTTAAATAAAGGAGTAGGAATGGGAATTAGATTGCATTAGGGGTGGCCATAAAAGAAGCGAAAGGGAAACACTTAGGAACCACAGAAATTTCAGAGAGGACTTTTTTGGTCTCTTTGTTGTTCTTAGTTTAAAGATGGGAGACAATTTAGCATGTTTATTTAGCTAAGGGAAAGGAGCTAGGGAAAACTGAAGACATAATAGACTAAGTAGATAATCCATGGAATAGTTCTTACAGAAAGAGATAAAATCAAGAACAGAGATGAAGGAAAAACCTTGGAGAGGAAAAGGGACAACTCTGCAAAGTAAGAAAAGATGTCTGGCCCCAGAATGGGTAGGATTTCAGTGAGCTCGGAGTATAAAGGACTGAAGTTTAGGGAGTACATATGTAATTAATGGAAAGATACAAATTTTCCTTATAAGCAAAAAAGTAAATCTGAAATTGAAGGTACAAAAGGAAGTTACCATTTTCCAGACAAATTTGTTCCTTTTCCTTTTGTTTACTCTTTAGGTACAGAGCTATGTAGAATATTAATCTTGAACTCTTTCCCATCTTGACTCTTTAATACTTTTTGAGGCTAACACTGAAGTCCTGACTGAAAAGAGAGAAGTGGAAAAAAATTTCCAGTCCTTTAAAACTCTTTGTGGACCTCTATCTTAATGCAATTCAGTAGAAAGTTTAAAAATCATTGTATGCTTTCAGAGTGACATACAACGTGCTTTAGTGAACTCTTCCAAATGATTCTTTAGTGTTCCCACCATTTTTTATAAATATTTTTATACATTTGTTTATCTGCTTTTTTGTTTCTTTTTTGGTATTTTAGGGTTATGGTTTTCCAGTGAACCGACTTTTTGACCTTTTATTTGAAATAAGAGATCAATATAATGAAACACTGCTTAAGAAATGGGCTGGAGTTTTCAGGTTAGTCTAAGCCATGTGCCTTAATGTAGTGAATAAGTTTGTCAAATGCTTAATCAATTGATTTTGCATATAGCCCCCAAAAATGCTTATAATCAATTTCTAATATGGTAAAGTACACATAAAATTGACCATTTTAATCATTTTAAAATGTACAGGTCAGTGTTGTTAAGTATATTTACCTTGTTGCAACCATTGCCACCATCTATCTCTAGAAACTTTTTATTTTCTCAAACAGTAATTCTGTACCCACTAGACAATAACTCCCATTTCTTCTTTTCTCAGCTCCTGGCAGTACCACCATCCTCTAAAATTTCATTTATCTCTAAAATTTAACTGTTTTAGGTAACTCATGTAAGTGGAACCATACAATATTTGTCCTTTTGTGTCTGGATCATTTTACTTAGCATAATATCATGAAGGTTCATTCACAGTGAATATATTAATTAGAATTTCATTCCTTTTTAAGGCTGAATAATGTTCCATTGTTTCTTTTTACCACATGTTGTTTTTCCATTCACTTGTTGATGGACATTTAGGTTGTTTCTATTTTTTAGCTATTGTGAGTAATGCTATTGTGAACATTCCTATACATATATCTGTTTGAGTTCCTACTTTTAATCTTTTTGAGTTTATACCCAGGATACGGTAAATATATCATTTTTTGAGAAACTGCCATACTGTCTTCTATAGTGACTATTAGTGACTATACCATTTAGAATCAATTTTTAATTATACTTACTTTTAGTTCTAATATCTGTAATTTTTCAGCAAATAATTAGATACCTAAAAGTCTATGAATATTCAAAGGAATTTCATATATGAAACTGAAATTTATAGCCATTAAATTTGGTTTGGGGAAATTTTTTTTTTTTAACAAATAACCTAAGTATATTAAGAATTGTGGAGACTGTAAATAGGAAAATTGCCTTTACTATAACCACTTACCTGAAGACATGGATTAAAGTATTTTAATATCTGTGAGACTTTGCATTGCCATGAAAAGAGAAATCTGCCCTTGCTTTTACTTACTGAAAGCTTTCCTCCCTCCCTCTTCCTACCTTCCTGTCTTCTCTCTTCCTTTTTACTTTGTTCCTCCTTTTCTCACTCTTTCCCTCCCTCTCTTTCTCTTTCAGAAAAAAAAGTCGATCTTGAGATCTTCTAGGTTGTCCAAAATATGATAAAAGTAATATGTCGATAATGTCTGATGATTTTAAATTAAAAATACCAGCTTAACACTTACCCCAACAGTTTGTAGGGAAATTAACCTTCCGAATTCTATAATAGAAATCTTATTAATTGGTGATATACATATTAAAATTATATTTATATTGTATCATATTTATAAGATGATACATTTATATTAAAATTAAAATAAACTAAATAGATTCTTATTTGAGCTTATTGTGTTAACATTTTTTAGGAGTAATACTGTCAAGATGATGTCTTGGTTGAAATAATTGACAATACTGATAAGTCCATATTATTATCATCAATTTTTTATATTATTTAAGAGATACAATAGTGCTTATTAATAGAGGCAGTTATCTATAACATATACTATGATATGATGTGATATAATATCTTTTTTTAATACCTTTATTTCATTTATTTATTTTTTGGTGCTAAGGATCGAACCCAGGGCCCTGCAAGTGCTAGGCGAGTGCTCTACCACTGAGCCACAACTCTAGCCCCATGATATAATATCTTTATACTTGTAAAATCTTAGAGTTGTTATTTATTTGGCCTCTTCAGAAGAAAGTTTGAGATTTTATAATTGTTGCTGGATTATATTGAGCCAGACATTCTCTTTTATCTATCTTAAGACTTCTAGCAGTGACATTACTCCCCCAAATTAAGGAAATCAGGAAGTACCTTTTCTTTGGAAAGCTAAGGAGTTCATTCAAATAGAGTTAAGATGAACTTTATTCTTCAAAGTAATAGTGGAGGAGAACAAATGATAGTTTACAGATTGTAATACATAATTCTCAACATCATTGTAGGTCACATTTTTTGCCTAAATTTTTTGGAAATAGTAAAGTTTTAGCTTGGCTTGACTTACCCTGATTTATATCTTCAAATATTTTACAAGTAGTGAATTGACAATCTAACAGTAAAATGGGGGAAAAAGTAAAAATTTTCATCAGTACTGAATAATTAAAACTCGACCATATCCATGGCAGAATTTATAATTTCACTACTAGTATACTTTATCTATATGTAGTTCTCTCTGACCACATTGTGAGTACCAATGTTTTATTAATTTTTTATACATTTTATATACCCATACTTTTTATTTATTATTTTTTTTTTACAGAGAGAGAGAGAGAGAGAGAGAGAGAATTTTTTAATATCTATTTTCTAGTTTTCAGCAGACACAACATCTTTGTTTGTATGTGGTGCTGAGGATCGAACCCGGGCTGCACGCATGTCAGGCGAGCGCGCTACCACTTGAGCCACATCCCCAGCCCTATTTATTATTATTATTATTATTACCAGTGATTGTATCGAGGGGCACTTAAACATTGAGCCCTTTCCCCAGCCCATTTTAATATTTTATTTTGAAACAGGGTCTTACTAAGTTGCTGAGGCTGACCTTGAACTTGCAATCTTCCTGCCTTAGCCTCTGAAGCTGCTGGAATTGCAGGTGTGTTCCACCACACCTGGCTATTTATTTATTATTCTTAGTTGACAAATAATAATTGTTTATATTTATGGAACATAATGTGATGTTTTAATAATATATTATTGATGATTAAATCAAACTAACATACCCATTGTATATGTGTGTGTGTGTGTGTGTGTATTTTTGGTACCAGGAATTGAATCCAGAAGTGCTTAATCACTGAGCACATACCCAGCCCCTTTGTTTTATTTTTTCTTTTGAGATAGGGTCTTGTTTGCTAAGTTGCTTAGGGCCTTGATATGTTGCTGAGGCTGACTTTGCTCCTCCTGCCTCAGCCTCCTAAGCCACCATGCCCAGCTATACTCATCATCTTATATGCATACTTTTTTGTAGTGCAAGTATTTAAAATCTACTCTCTTAGCTGTTTGGAAACACATGCCACATAATTAATAATAGTCACCTTGCTGTGCAACAGATCTCAAAAACTTATTTTTCCTCTCTAACTGCAACTTCATACCCTTTGACCAACATCTCATCTCACCCCTTGTCTCTAGTAAAGAGGGGTAACCACCCTCCAGTAACTACCTATTCTATTCTCTACTTTTTATGAGTTTGGTTTTTTTAAGATTCTACAAGCGAGATCCTTAGTACTTGTCTTTCTTTGCCTGGTTTATCTCACTTATATCCTAAAAGTTTGTTCATTTTATTGCAAGTGACAGAATTTCCTTTATTTTTAAGGTCAAATGGTTCCATTGTATATATGTACCACATTTTCTTTCTTGCTGTTGAGTTCCTTTTATTTTTTTATATTAATCTCTTACCAGATTTATCAGATGTATATAAGCAACTATTTTCTCAATCTAAGTTGTTCCTTCACTCTTGTTTCCTGTGCTGTGCAGAAGCTTTTTAGTTTGATGTAGTCCCATTTGTCTACTTATGCTTTTGTTGTTTGTGCTTTTAAGATTATATCCAAAATATCATTGCCCAGACCAGTGTTGTGGAGCTATTTATATATTCTTGATTACTTAGCCCTCATGCACTGTTTTGCACAGAATAGGCACTCATTGTATGTTTGTAGAATTTGGTACTATAACTTTAGTCCTATAACTTGCTTTTTAATCTTTTTACTTTATTTTTAAACAATATTTAGAATGGAATAGAATAAATGGAAGCTTCTCACTATGTTTTAAGTGAACTATGCCTTACTTTGTGTGCCATCATGATTTACAAACCCGTGCCTATATTTCTATCCTGTTATTAAGACCTAAGAATAAATTTTTATCAACTGGACATCATCCACTACCCAAACCACACATTTCTCTATGTGCCTTATCTCAACAAAATGTCTCTGATGAGTTATGTATCATTTATTCATTTGCCCTCTCTAGAAACCAGATTTGTCATAAATATATTCTCTTTCACAATCCTATTTAATTTTAGGTCCTGTATATTCTACTTTTTTAAAAGCACTTGTTTATGCTACCTTTTTCTGCCTTCTCTACTATAGTTTTAAGTCAAACCCTCCTCACCTTTTATTTAGGTTATTCCTCAGTCTTTCTAACTGGTCTTTTTGTACTCATTATTGGCCTTTTTCCAATTTGTTCTCCCATATAGTAGCAATCTTCCTATGACATTCTCCTTCCTAAAACCTTTATTACCTCAAGGATAAAGTCTATGTACCTGAGTTTGTCAAGCTGCTCAACCTCGTCTTTCAACATATGCCTAATAAACTTTAGACTCCGGCAGTATCTCAATACCTATTGTTTGACACCACCTGATATTTATACTTTTTCACTCTTTATGCCTTTGAACATATGTTCCTCTGTCCCAAATGCTTTTCTCCCATAATCTCATCAGTAGTTTTTCTTTTCATCTTTCATCTACAGAGTCCATAGTTCTTCTGTAGAATTTTCCATGAGATATTCCTCCACCTGCTCTCATAGTTACTTCTTCCCTTGTCCTGTTTTTGATTCTTGTAACTATTATATGTAAAACATCTCATTATATACATAATTTGTATATCTGTCTCTTGTATTTGGTTCAAGGACAGGGATCTGGCTTTTTGTGGGGGAGTGGTGCTGGGGATTGAACTCAGGGGCACTCAACCACTGAGCCACATCCTCAGCCGTATTTTGTATTTTATTTAGAGACAGAGTCTCACTGAGTTGCTCAATGCCTCGCTTTTGCTGAGGCTGGCTTTGAACTTGCTATCTTCCTGCCTCAGCTTCCCGAGCCATGGGGATTACAGATGTGCACCACCATGCCTGGCCAGGATCTTGCTTTTATCTTTATGAAGTAAGGAATTTTCATCACAGTTCAAAGCCTAGAATATACTAGGTATAGTAAATATTTAACCAAATTGTTGAATAAAAATAAGTTACTGGGGATGGGACTGTAGTTCAGTGGTAGAGCGCCTGCCTCGCACATGTGAGGCACTGGTTTCAGTCTTCAGCACCACATAAAAATAAATAAATAAAGATATTGTGTCCATCTACAAATAAATATATATATATATATATAATTAATTGAACAGCAGCAGCTACCTTAGGATAGGCTGTATTATGCTGCAGCTACAGAAAAGTAACAAAACCCCCCAAATCTCTACACAATTTCTTATTTATACTGAAGTCTACAGTGGGTTTAGTAATCAGAGATCCAAGCTATTTATATTTGTGATTCTGCCTCCTCAACATATTGCTTCCCTTGTCACTATGGGCAGGAGGGTTACACAGTTGGCTCATAAATACTTTAGACTCAAAGTATCCCTTCCGTTCATAGCCAGTGACAACAACTAGTTATGTGGTCCTTCCTAACTGTAGGGGGGCTGTGTAGGGGAGCACATGAATAGGTGATCAGTAGTACATGTCTCTGTCTCACTAACTATAAAAGGTCCTTTATAATCACAACATTATGAGAGACTAAATAAATATAATATTTGGTTCATCAAGTGCTCTAGTTGGGAAGAGAGAAGGCACAAGACAATTTGAAAACTGTATCAAAAGATCTGATTGGTCTTGGGGTTCTGGCTAGTGGTAGAGCGCTTGTCTCACACATGTGAGGCACTGGTTTCAATTCTCACCACCACATAAAAATTAATTAATTAAAGGTATTATGTTCATCTACAACTGAAAATATTTTTAAAAATCTGATTTGAATATGCTTCATCTCGTGGATATGTTTTTAATGCCAATGATGAACTTCTTGTTCAGACTATATCTTAAGAATTGTTCTAGACAAGAAAACTAAAAGTACTGACAGGATATAACACATGGATTTTGAGAGACAAGACTTATACTGGATTTTAGAATTGTAGATGATTAGACAGTATTTTCCTATTTGGACTTGTAACTGACAAATAAAAAATGCTTTTGTTGTAGTTGGGCTCTTAAGATACTGTCTTATAATGCTTTAATGATATATTTTCTAATAATTTTTTAATTCTCCTTTCTTAACAGGGATATTTTTGAAGAAGATAATTATAGCCCCATCCCTATTGTCAGTGAAGAAGAATATAAAATAGTCACCAGCAAGTTTCCCTTTCAAGATCCAGACCTTGAGAAGGTATGAATTAGTTTTTAATTTAAGAATTAAAAAAAAATAAATTCATGATCTGTATTATGACATAAAATTAACCTGATATTTTAAGTAAGAATGGCTTTTTGGAACAATTTTTTGGTTGTATTATTTGAGAAAATTTTTTATATTTTGTTAACTTTTAAAGATTATGCTATTATTCTACTATTTTGATGAAAAGAAGAAGGGCTTTCCTGGGGATGCTAGAAGGAAATGTTATCCCAAATGTTAGGTGGATTCTTATGGCAAGTACTTACGTTGAGTGAATTCCAAGTTATATATACTAAATGTTGAATGAATTATTTTAATAAGAATAAATTGAGGGAAAGAGAAGAGAATTTCTTTGAAATATTCAGCACTGTGGAAGATCTTATTGTGGCTTTTTAAAGGAAGTATAGTTCTATAAAAATTTTATCTTGGTTAAGTAAAAGATACATGGAGGCAATAGCTCCTTGCATATTTCCTCTGGAAGAAGGGATATATTTTTAGAGTCAAGATACCTAAATAAAAGACAGGGTAGAGAAAGGAAGTAGATCAGTATGAGGGATATTCTGGGTTACACATGAGTGCATACACACACACACACACACAATTACAATTATCCAGTGTTGCTGGAGAGACTCAAATCTTATGAGATTTGAATATGAATATGAATAGCATATTTCCTACAGCTGTCACCTATTTTATTTTCTTTATTTTTGTTTTTGCTTCTTCTTCTTTTTTTTTTTCAGTTCTTTATAAATTCAGTGCTTTCCTACTTTTTTTGTGTTTGGTACCAGGGTTTGAACACAGGTGCACTTAACCACTGAGCCATATCCCCAGCCCTTTTTTTCTTTTGAGACAGGGCCTTGCTAAGTTGCTGATAATGGCTTTGAGCTTGTGATCTTCTTGACTCCTTCAGCCTCCTTATCTGCTGGGATTACAGGCATGCTCTGCTTATTTTCTATATCTTTATTGTCAGAATAAGCAAGAATGAATTCAGAGTGAATTGTGACTATAAATTTTTGTCATATTTTTATGTACAACTTAGTCATAAATGTGTAATAATCACTAAATATAGAAAAAACAATTAAATGCATAGCTTTTAGATTATAGCTAACATTGCTAAAAGATCAGAATAATTCTTCTAATTCTATATTTTTTAAAGTCCCAGAGTTGTCCCTGTGTCAAGAAACATTACTAGAATATTCTCCCTCTCATGGCTTGGTTTTGTTTTCTTTTGTTTGTAGTTACTGGTAAGGAGTTTTATTCAGACTATAGCATCTGTATCAAGAGCACTGAACCAGCCAGGTGTGGTGGTGCACACCTATAATCCAGTGACTCGAGAGGCTGAGACAGGAGGATAACAAGTTTGAGGCCAGTCTTAGCAACTTAGTGATGCCCTGTCTCAAAATAAAAATAAGCACAAGGGATATAACTTAGTGGTAAAGTACCCCTGGGTTAAATCCTCAATACCTACACCCACCTGCCATTAAAATAAAGCACTGAACCAGGCTGGATTCGCACATTAGCTCTGCTTGTAGCTTACTATGGCCAAGTGACTTACCTTATTTGGGTATTAGGGCCTAATCTAATCTGTCAAATGAGGTAGAACTGAGTGATGTTTACTGTCCTTTCCAATTATGCTAAATAATTCTAAGTAGGTTTATAATTTAAAATAAAACTTTCTTGTGAGGAGCTTCCAATATATTCATTTATCCCTTAGATTAAGCTCCTAATTTAGAAAAATCATTTCTGCATGTAGAAAGGCTGTAATTCTGTAGTGTAAAGTACAGTTGATGAAGTTTAGTAGATGAAGATCCAGAAATGTAATTGGAAGATTCCTGTAATCCTCGTGACTCAGGAAGATTGCAAGTTCGAGGCTAGCCTCAACAACTTAGTGAGACCCTGTCTCAAAATAAAACATAAAAAATGGCTGGGAATATAGCTCAGTGGTAAAGTGGCCCTGGGTTAGATCCTCTGTAGCCCCCCAAAAAAGAAAGAAAGAAATGTAATTGGAGAAATAGAAAGGGTCAGACCATAATAGCCCTTGTCAATAATGTTGGAGAGTTTAGCCTCAGAGGCAAGTCACCGAAAAGTTTTAAGCAGTAACAACATAATTAGATTTGTGCTTTAGGAATATCATTCTGGCTAACCTGTGATGACTGGAAAGAGTAAGACTGGTAGCAGGGAGTACAGCTAAGACATTTTTACAGTTATCCAATTGAGAGGGGTTGGTGACCTGAATAGGGCCTATGGTTGTGGAACCTGACTTAGGAGGTAATTAGGAAGTTGAACAACAGAAGCTGCTGATGGTTATTTGCTTATGAGGGATAAGGAAAATAAAAGAAGTCAAGTATAATAACTAAATTTCTATCTTGAATAGTGGTGGCATTCACTATGATGGGAAACACAAAAGGAACAGGTTTTGAAAAAAAAAAGAGATGATCATTTCACTTTTGGATATATTGTGTCTGAAATAGTACAGCTAAATGGGAGTGTCCAGTAGGTAGTTAGATATATGGATTTGAACATTAAGAGAAAGATTCAATCTGGAATTGTAGATTTGGGAAATACTGACATTTACATGGTCATTGAAATCATGGGAGTATGAGATCATGCAAAGTATACAAGTATTATGGATACAAAGTAGTAAGCTATTAGATTTTTATCTGTACAATGCTTATCATCAGAACACAAAGAGGTATTGATATGTGCTGTCTCTGCTTGTTGGAAGTATACTAAAATGATTTTAAGTATAAGATTAAATTGCTGCAGTTTTTTCAGAATTATTTTGGATTTCTTTAAAATATAAAAAATAAAGTAGAAAAGCAGCAATAGAATTTATGTAATTATTTACTATTAATTCAAATATGAGGTCAATTTAATTTTTATATTTTGTAATGATTAGACTGACTTTTTCAAAATTTTCAAAAACAATATTTACTTTCTCTTTCTACAGCAATCTTTCCCCAAAAAATTCCCCATGTCTCAGTCAGTGCCTCATATATACATTCAAGTTAAAGAATTTATTTATGCCAGCCTTAAATTTTCAGAATCGCTGCACCGGAGGTAAGCTTACTAATAAGAAATGTGTCTTTATCATACTGTTTTTATGAATCATTAACATTTAGTTTTCATACCATGACTCTTTAATGAATTATTCTCTCATAAAAAAAGTTTACATATTTTATTTAGTTATATTTAGGGTTTAGTTGATATAAATCTAATATTGTATTTTTAACTTTTAATTATGTAAATCTTCAAAGTACATAAAAGTAAAAATAATTTATAGGAAACTTCTATGTTCTCAGCATCTAAATTTAACAGTAATAAAAATTTTGTCATATATTCTTTTTTTTGCAGTGGTGGGGATTGAACCTAGGGCCTTGCTCATGCTGGATCAATACTCTGCCCCTGAGCAACATCCCCAGCCTTTGCCATATCTTCTTTTTTTTTTTTTTTTGCTGATATATTTGCAAGCAAATTCCTAATATAATGATCTTTTATCCCTGAATACTTCAATATGTGTTTCTATAAACAATGAGGACATTTCATTAGTTAACAAAATGTAACAAAATTAATATGATTCCATAGTATCAGTTTCCTAGTATATGTCAATGTTGTCTTGATTATCTTTTTCAATGGGTCCAAACAAGGTTCACACCTTGCATTCATGATTCAATTTGTTTCATGATGTTCCCTTTTTATCTGTGACATTGACTGCCTTGTTGGAGATCTGATATCATTAAGCTTGTTTTTTTTTTTTTTTTTCAGAAAGGTTTAAAGTGAGGATTCAGACAAAATCAATAGAATAAGTAAAGAATGTTGTAGCAAGTTGATACACTCAATAATGGAGAGCAGCACAACTATTGGTAGTAATAGCCAATTTAATTTTATAGGCAAGAAATGTCATTTATCTGATATGATGAAAATAATATTCTATGTTTATGGAAATGGGAAATGTGATATTATTCCTTTTTGCTGATAAGGAAACCGAGGCTCAGAAAGGCTAAATCAATAATTCAGAATGATCATGCTCATTAGGTTGAGAGCTGGGATGAAGAGCAGGTCTTCTGATTCACATCTGTAAAAATGTCTGGCATAATAAAAAAGGTTCAGTTAATGGAAGCAAAGCATTAATCTTTATGCTACATCCAGTTATCTAGAAAGATCCTGCATTATAGTCAGGTGATACATTTCTGATTGTGAACACTCTGGAACACATGAAGTGGTAATTCTTGCTTTCATGTTTACTCTGAAATTCATTCTTCTGAATTTATGTATGGAATAGCAGGAGATATTCTTTTTCAGGGAAACTCAAAATTTTAAATCACAAAAAGGCAGTTCATATGTTATAATTGTTTTTCAAGCAGAAATTTTATTGTATCTGTTTCTTATCATAAAGTACTACTATTTTGGATTTAAACAAGATAAAAATAAATGGAAAAAGAAATGTGTTCTGCCAGTGTGAATGAGTATCTGATTTAAAGTCTTACATTGTTCTTTCCTTGTGAGTAGTGATTCTTTGAAAGATTTTGTAATTCCTGTTCATGAGTAATAAGAATAGAAGAAGAAAGGAAGGCAAATGTCTAACAAATAGCATTTGTTGTGCTATGTGATTCCCATTAGCCAGCAGTTCTCAAGTAGTTGCCAGACCAGTAACATTAGTATCACAGAGGAAATAATTAGAAATACTACCTCACACTTCCTAAATTAGAAACTGAGGGTGAGTTCCAAGGTTTTACCAACTTCTCTGAGTGACTCTGTTGTATAGCAAAATTTTTTAAAAAATCACTGCTTAAGCTTCATCATACTTTACCAACCACTTACACCAAAGTTTCTAAAGACACTAACTTTAGCTTTAGATACTAGAGGTTATGTAGCATAAAATATCACACACACCATCATATAGCCTTTGAAAAAGGTAGTGAATATAAGTTGAGTATTACCTGAAAAGGAATAACATAAGAGTAAGTCTGATTACAATGGTAAGTTTTTCTAGTGGATATATCAGAGCCATCAACAATTTATTCCTATCCTGTTTTTCATTTAACATTCTGTTCTAAACAGAAGCTATGCAGTGCTTAATAACATAAGCTTTAGTTTGAGTCTTGATGCTAACAAGTCAATTCATCTCCTTAAACTGCAGTTTCCTCATCTGTCAAATGAGGAAAATAATTTGTAGTAAGAATGAAAGGAGGTAGTGCATGTGCAATAAAGCACCGAGTACAATACCTAGCACATGGTAGGCTCACAGAGCTTAGGAGAGCATGGGATGCTAGATGTGAGACTGGAGCTTGGAGTGTTTATATTTTATTTTAAAAGTGTTGGGGCAAAATGAAACTGAATCCCTTTCTCTCGCCATGCACAAAAGTTAATTCAAAATGGATCAAGGAGCTTGATATCAAATCAGAGACACGCCGTCTAATAGAAGAAAAAGTTGGCTACGATCTACATACTGTGGGGTGGGGCTCCAAATTCCTCAATAGGACACCCATAGCACAAAAGTTAATATCTAGAATCAACAAATGGGACTTACTCAAACTAAAAAGTTTTTTCTCAGCAAAAGAAACAATAAGAGAGGTAAATAGAGAGCCTACATCCTGGGAACAAATCTTTACTCCTCACACTTCAGATAGAGCCCTAATATCCAGAGTATACAAAGAACTCAAAAAATTAGACAATAAGAGAACAAACAACCCAATCAACAAATGGGCCAAGGACCTGAACAGACACTTCTCAGAGGAGGACATACAATCAATCAACAAGTACATGAAAAAATGCTCACCATCTCTAGCTGTCAGAGAAATGCAAATCAAAACCACCCTAAGATACCATCTCACTCCAGTTAGATTGGCAGCCATTATGAAGTCAAACAACAACAAGTGCTGGCGAGGATGTGGGGAAAAGGGTACACTTGTACATTGCTGGTGGGACTGCAAATTGGTGCAGCCAATTTGGAAAGCAGTATGGAGATTTCTTGGAAAGCTGGGAATGGAGCCACCATTTGACCCAGCTGTTCCCCTTCTCGGTCTATTCCCTAAAGACCTAAAAAGAGCATGCTACAGGGACACTGCTACATCGATGTTCATAGCAGCACAATTCACAATAGCAAGACTGTGGAACCAACCTAGATGCCCTTCAATAGATGAATGGATAAAAAAAATGTGGCATTTATACACAATGGAGTATTACTCTGCATTAAAAAATGACAAAATCATAGAATTTACAGGGAAATGGATGGCATTAGAGCAGATTATGCTAAGTGAAGCTAGCCAATCCCTAAAAAACAAATGCCGAATGTCTTCTTTGATATAAGGAGAGTAACTAAGAACAGAGTAGGGTCGAAGAGCATGAGAAGAAGATTAACATTAAACAGGGATGAGAGGTGGGAGGGAAAGGGAGAGAGAAGGGAAATTCCATGGAAATGGAAGGAGACCCTCAGAGTTATACAAAAGTACATACAAGAGGAAGTGAGGGGAAAGGGAAAAATAATACAAGGGGGACAAATGAATGTCAGTAGAGGGGGCAGAGAGAGAAGAGGGGAGGGGAGGGGAGGGGAGGGGGGATAGTAGAGGATAGGAAAGGCAGCAGAACACAACAGACACTAGTATGGCAATATGTAAATCAATGGATGTGTAACTGATGTAATTCTGCAATCTGTATATGGGGTAAAAATGGGAGCTCATAACCCACTTGAATCAAAGTGTGAAATATGATATATCAAGAACTATGTAATGTTTTGAACAGCCAACAATAAAAAATTAAAAAAAAATAAAAGTGTTGGGGAACTATTGAAGAATGTTTAAGGTGTGACATGATTGGAATTATTTTTTCAAAAGTTTACCTCTGGCTCAACACGGATGGTAGATTGGAGAAGGATAACAAAAAGTATCATGTTAAGGAAGTGAAGTCAGTGGCTCAAGAAAGAGATGAAAAATGACTGAAATAGGATCAATGGTTACAAAGAGAAAGGAACATATACAAGAAGTGTTAGGAGCCTGAAATAGGAGTACTTGTGAATAAAGGGATGGAGGATAATTTGACTTATATTTCAGTGGATTTGAATTTGTTTATATACTCTCTAATAACTAACTATAACTGAAATCTCTATTATCTTTAAGTTTTTAAAGATGGGGATATATTCATCTTTTTTTAGGTGAACAAATGCTAGCCAAAGGGAAAAACAAAAAGTATCTCTTTAGCACTCATCTTACAACTTGACTTAAATAGAGTAAAATTGAGAATTATTCTTGAAGTGGGGAGATCCTGGGATTAAACCTAGGACATTGTGCATGCTAAAGAATGTGCTGGCTCATCCCTGGTCTTGAGAGTTATTCTTGAAACTGCAATCCTAATCTATAGCATTAGTTCCCTTTACCTTTTCCTTTAAATATAATTACTTTAAACTTGTTGTGTGGACAATTTGAATGTTCTAACATGTACTTGTTATTACCTACTCTAATGTGGATTCTTGAAACACAATACTCATACCTGATTAAGATATTATTAAATTTGTAGAGCTAAGCATGGTGGCTCATGCCTATAATCCCAGCAGCTTGGGAGGCTTGAGACAGGAGGACAGTGAGTTCAAAGCTAGTCTCAGCAATTTATCAAGGCTCTAAACAATTAGTGAGACTTTGGCCCTAAATAAAATATAAAAAAGGGCTGGGATGTAGCTCAGTGGCTAAGCGCCCCTGGTTTAATCGCTAGTACCAAAACCAAACCAAACCAAAACAAACAAAAAACCACTTGTAGAAAGCATAGAAATATAGCATTTTGGAATTATTATTTTTTTATTTACAGAGGAGTTATAGTGGCTTTCTAATAATTATGATTTTATTTTTAAACTGAATTTATAATACCAAAGATAAAAGTCATTAATCATATTATTATGTATAATCTTCCCTAAAACCTAATGTCTGAATATAAAACTAGAACATCAGTTCCAACTCCTTTTATATATGAAGTTTAAAAGGCAAAGATTGTGTGCTAATGCTACGACTGAAAAGGCTACAGTATTCTCCTTCTCTGTTTGACAAAAATATCTAATTTTGTTAGATTGATTCTGATCATTTTTTGGGCTGTGGGGATACCAGATATTGAACTAAGGAGCATTTGGCCACTGAGCCACATCCCCAGCCCTATTTTGCATTTTATTTAGAGATAGGGTCTCATTGAGTTGCTTAGTGCCTCACTTTTGCTGAGGCTGGCTTTGAACTTGCAATCTTCCTGCCTCAGCCTCCTGAGCCACTGGAATTACAGATGTGTGCCACTGTGCCTGGTGTTCTGCTCATTTTAATAAGCTGTGATCATTATCTATTCAAGAAAGTATTTATGCTGACATTTTTAAAAAATTATGCTTTGCCAAGTACACTCACTATTCTAATTTTGTTACTAAGAGGAAAAAGAAATTCAGAATATGGGGCTGAGATGTAGCTTAGTGGTAGAGTATTTGCTTAGCATGTGAAGACTCTGGGTTTAATCCCCACTACTACAAAAAAGAAAAAAAAATTGGGATATGAAGGAACAGACAATGATTAATTAAAAGATACGTAAATCTAAATTTACTCTAGATTATCGGTTCTTTGACATTTTTATTTTTAAACTCTACATACAAAATTGAGCTTTAAGAGTTGTTATGTTTTTTGTCATTAAAGAGTTATGGAAGCCAGGCACAGTGGTTTATACCTCTAATCCCAGTGATTTGGGAGGCTGAGGCAGGAAAATTGCATGTTTTGAGGCTAGCCTGGGCAATCTTATTGAGATCTTGTTTCAGAACAAGAAAATAAAATGGACTGGAAATGTAGCTCAGTGGTAAAGCATCCCTAGGTTCAATCCCCATTACAAAAAAAAAAAAAAAGTTATGGATAAAAAAAAATCATGTCTGTGTTTAAAGCTCATATTTTATTTTTGTTTAAACATATTTTGGAGTTAAGATTTTTTAAATAAGAAGTATTTTATAGCTTTTATAGTATGAATGTTTTTATTATGAATAAAAGTAGTGCCAGAGAATTAAATGACTTCATAAAAGACTCCAAAGTTTCATGATTATTTGGTTGTAGAGGAATAATATAAGATTTGAATGTTGTCTTTAAGCATTTTTTTAGTCCTCATAAGAAATTAAGCTGTAAGATATTTAGGAGAGTTATTGCATATTAAATTTAATTATTGTGAAGTGTTCTTTAAAATTTAGGAAGAGTATAAGTTACAGGTTCAAAGGGCAAGGACTTAAGGAAAAAATTGCTCAGTTGATATTAAAAACTACATGGGGGGAATACTAGTCATAAGGTAAATCTTGCTGGCCCAAATAGGACACAGGTGCTGATAGGTTTTCTTTCTCTGGTTTTTGAAGAAACCAGACTCAGCATTCAAGGATGTATAGGGAAATTAAACAAAAGATATTATCTGTAAATGATAACTTTCACATGAAAAAGATGCTATGCAGTGTGTCTTTAAGCACAATTTCAGTGTATCTGAAAAACCAGAGGAGTTGTCAACCACCTTTCTTTTATTAGGGTGAATAATTGGCTTGTTCAAGGGATACTATTGATCAATTAAAACATTTTCTGTCTTGAATGTTTGATACCAAGTAACCCTGAAGCCCTGCTCATTTCTGGAGAAGTCTTGATTCTATATTTTAAAACAAATCAGAGAGAAATAGCCTCCTTGGGCCTACTAGAATTAGGGTTAGCAGAAATAGTACAGTCCCTGCACTGGAGCTGGGGTGGAAGCAGTGTTAGAGCAGGGGCTTAGCAAGCACAAAGCTCTTGGTTGGACCCCAGCACCAAAAACTAAATAAAGTAAACAGAAAAGGACCTGCATTAAAAGAGAGAACATTAGAACAGTAGCAAGAAGTGTTCATGTTTGGTCAAATGTTGCTTTATTTGCATCTTTAAAAATAAATGTAGGGGGCTGGGGATGTGGCTCAAGCGGTAGCGCGCTAGCCTGGTGTGCGTGCGGCCTGGGTTCGATCCTCAGCACCACATACAAACAAAGATGTTGTGTCCGCCGAAAAAAAAAATATTAAAATTCTCTCTCTCTCTCTCTTTAAAAAAAAATAAATAAATGTAGGGGCTGGGGGTTATAGCTCAGTGGTATAGCCCTTGCCTCGCACACGTGAGGCACTGGGTTCAATCCTCAGCACCACATAAAAATAAATAAATAAAGTAAAGATATTGTGTCCATCTTTTAAAAAATTTTAAAATGTAATAAATATTTGTGCTTTATATAGTTTTAGAAATGTTATTTTAATACAGTAAAAAATAAAAGGAGATGACTTGGGAGGTTAAGACAGAAGGATCACAAATTCAAGGCCAACCTCAGCAACTTATCGAAGCCATAAGCAACTTAGTGAGACCCTGTCTCAAAAAATAAAAAGGACTAGGGAGTAGGTCAGTGGTAAGGTGCCCCTGGGCGATACCAAAAAAAATTTTAAAAAAGTAAAAGGTGTAAGGCAGTTGTTCTAAACGGAGAATAATTTTGGCCTCCTCCCTGCTGCCACCCACCTCTCTACCTTTGGCAATGTCTAGAAATATTTTTGGTTGTTACAATTTCGGGGAAGGGTGCTACATGGAACTAGTAGGTGGAGACCAGAAATACTGCTAAACATCTTACAATTCACAGAATGGGCCCCCCAGCACAGAATTATTCAGTCTAAAATGTTAATGGTGCTGAGATTGAGAATCCCAAGAAATTATTATTCGGTTGAAGGCCTAGTGGTGAGGAGGAAAGCATAAGAATAGTGCCAGCTTAACAATCTTTAGGATGTTCAGAAGCATCATAGGTTTTTTTGCACTAAATTGAAATTAGTTTAAAATATAAGTGTCTTCAAAAATCTCAATGGAAATGGATAGCTTAATTATTTTAAAATTTAAATCTGAAAATTTATATCTAAGAAAAGTTCACATCAATGTGTGTTAAAAAAGTAATTTTTAGCTATAGTTATATATGAAGTGTCTTGCAAAGTGACTGTAGAATGTAGTTGTAATTTAAGAATAGTTTTATTTCCTTGTACTAAGTACCTCATGATTTTTCTGTAGTGATTGATTTGATGAATTTAAATTATTGCCATAAAAGAATATTCTGCTTTGTGAATTTATGAAATTGAATTGAAGTTTGTGATTTAGTAAGTATGAGTTATTATAATTCATTTAAAGATAAGAAAGAATGGATTAGAACAAATTATTTTAACAAATAATATTAAATTATTTAGAATGTTAACTAACTATACCCTTGGAAAGTTTAATAATATCAACCTTTCTTTTTAGTTCAACAGAAATAGATGATATGCTTAGAAAATCAACAAATCTGCTGCTGACCAGAACTTTGAGTAGCTGTTTACTGAACCTTATTAGAAAGCCTCATATAGGTTTGACAGAGGTAGGTTAAGAAGACACATACAACCAAATAGTTTTTTATTTGAAAAAATTTATAGATTATTGATGAACATCATAATATAAAACTGGCTTGGTATTTTATTTATTTGTTCTTTCTTAGATATACGTGACTGTAGAGAGCATTTTGACATATTATACATACATGGAGAATAATTTATTTTAATTAGGATCTCATTATTGTGGTTGTACTTGATAATGGAGTTTCACTGGTCATGTATGTATATATGAACATAGGAAAGTTATGTCAGATTCATTCTATTGTCTTTTCTAACCCCATCCTCCCTCCCTTCCCTTCATTCCCTTGTATCTAATCCAATGTGCATCTTCTCATGTTTTCATTTATTTACACCAGAAATAAAGGAAATGTGAGAAAATGCATTTAAATATCTCATTGCCAGTCTTTACATGGAGGATCAAAATCCTCAATCCTCATTTTTTTTTTTTTACTTATTTAATGTATGAGATTGGAAAAGTACTATGGAAAGTTATTTTTAAATTATTGGCAGTTGGATTCTTGGTGTATCCATATATATTTTTTAATGATGTTAGCAGTATTTGCATCAGGCTTTTAACATCAGATAATCAGTTGTTTCCTGTGTTGCTATAATTATGCAGAAATGGTACAGTGTCTGGAAGTAATAATGCTGTTTTTAAAAATCAGATAGTTTTGTATATGTGTAAATTGCATTTTACTGTATATATTTTGTGTTTTCTAGCTAGTGCAAATCATCATAAACACAACACACCTGGAACAAGCTTGTAAATACCTTGAGGACTTTATAACTAACATTACAAATATTTCTCAAGAAACTGTTCATACCACAAGACTTTATGGACTTTCTACTTTTAAGGTATGTAAAATCTGACCAAAGTTTTCTTTTCAATTACTTTAGCAAAATTAGGTAATTAAAGACAATTTTTGTGTGTGATTTCATTGTATTTCTAAATATTGAGAATTAGAGCTAATTATTGTCAACAAGCAGATAAATGTCAGTTCCTTTTTGGCATTTTAAATATTAATAAAACATTTTAAACTTCAATAAAAGTGGAGAGAAACATTGATTTTCTACAATGTATTACATTTTGTTTATGTTTTGAAAACAAATGATAAGGTTGAATTAGGCTAGCTGAATTTTAGAGTTCAATAATTAATTTTACATGTGTGTGTGTTTGGAAATGAAAAATATGAGATAAATAAGTGTGAGATTTGCTTTTCATCCCTTATTGACTCTATACTGAAGAAAAAAATATGTCACAGAAGTTCTTTTTTCTGGATGAAAAGATTTATACTTGTATAGTAGCAGGGGATATACTGAAAGATGAATTGATGGTTGTTTTCAGCAGAGTGCAAGATTCAATAATTTTATGTTTGTTTTTTTGATTTGGAAACACAAATGATACATTGGAATAGGCTAGCATTGTAAATTTCCTTGTAAGGAATATTTTATTAAATTAATTATAAACCACTTACTGATCCCTTCTAACTTTAAAAATCCAAAAGAATTTTTATCTTCCTACTTTTTCTATATTATAAATTATTCAATTTATCTCCTAAAATTATATTGTAATAATTTATTTTTAAAATTAAGTGCACTTGTATTTAGATATAATTAACTTAATATTTACTCTGACTTTGAATGTGCAAAGCCCAGAAACAACTGTGGGTTCCTAAAATTATCTATTTGGTCCCTAAATCTTATGCTTCCCCGATGACTCTTAAGCTCATGTTGTCAGCCTGATACAGAAGACAAATTAAGAATGGCATCTGTGTCAGTGGATTTATAAAATTAGAATTGAGACAGAACGGTGTGAAAAAGCAGGCATTCATTTATTCAATAATATAATGTAGTGATTAAGAGTATATACTCTGGAGTAGACTGCTATGTGACCTGTGCAAGTTTTTTAACCTTAATGATTACAAATTTCTTCATCTGTAAAATCAGAGTAACAATATACTATATACCTCATATGAGGTTATAAAGATTAAAGGAGATAGCACAGAGCAATTCATTGTTTATCAGTTATGCTCTGAGCTCTCTATTAGGCCCCAAGTATACAAATATCTGTCACTTCCCTCAAGAAGCTCACAGGAAGAAAAAACTGTAAAAGATACGTAACAGTATCACTTAAGTATTATAAGGGGAGAGTACAATTTTGGACCTTTATTTATCCAAAGATGCATTGATCTTCAGCTCTTTTCTTTCTTTTTTCCTTCTTTATGGTACTGGGGATTCAACCCAAGGGTGCTCTACCACTGAGCTATATCCCCAGTTCTTTCTTTCTTTTCTTTTTTTTTTTAATTTTGAGACAGTGTCTCATTAAATTGCCCAGACTGGCCTTGAACTTGTGATCCTCTTGCCTCAGCGTCACCAGTGTCTACGATTCCAGATGTGTGCCACTGCCTTCAGAAATCCTTAGCTTTTATATTAGATTTTTAAAATAATCTCTCTCTTAATTGTTCTTTCTGTCCTTATATTCATGTATGCTTCAGTCCCTGACAAGAGGGGATTTACTTAGGCTTAGAGTTGTAAGCCTAATTAACTGCTCACATTAAATTTGATCTGCTTACTCAGTACTCTGAATAAAATATGAAATACCTTGGTGTTTCTAGGAATTTTCAAGCAATTGTTTATTATCAGTTAGAATCAAAGATGCTGGAACATGGTGCTCTTATATTGGGGGATCTTGAAACTGTTTCTCAAAATCTGTCTGTAGGGAGAGAATTTTAGAAATATTAGCTCTGGTTCACCACTCCATAGTTGTAGATATTTAGTTGAAACACCAACTACCATCATATACCCTTAGGTGGGTTTCCTTGGAAATCAGAAATCAAGTTCTGCCACTACAAATAGCATAGCTTCCTCATTTTTTGTTATTCTTTGTTTTGTTTTCACTTAGAGCTTAGTAAATATTTCTTTGTTTCATCCTATGTTTCATAATATAACAAGAGCTGTTTTGTGCTCATTATTGGAAAATCAAGTATTTGGTTCTACCTTTTGATCTATTTCAAGAGGAATTTGTCTTGAATTGTGATATGAAGAAGTGGTTCAGCAGGGAGAATTGTTAACTCAATATTAGAGTGAATTACTCAGGGACATTGGGGAATTTCCATTCATATTGAATAGTCAATGTGTTGCCTATTCTACAGAGATGATTGAGGTACAGTCTTAGTTATGGATATTAGATTGAATTGCTTACTTAACCTCTTAGCCTAATTCTTTTCAATCCAATAACCCTACAAAACATTCTTGTTTGGTTTCTTAAAGGTCATGGAAACAAGCACTTTCAAGATTCCTTTACCATACCTCTATTTTTTTTCTTCCAAAATGCACATATGCATACATATGATATATGTGCTCATGTATGTCATCTGTTTATTTTATGAATTATTATAGATTTTCTTATTAGCTTACCTTTCACTTTGCTGAATCTGTGAGTGGTATTTGAGGTACAACAGTAGTTACTACCCTAAAACAGTACTTCAACTTATTGAAATTAACTTGGACCCACACAGAGCCACTTAAAAATAATGTAAGAGTTACGCTTACTGAAAAAATTAGCATCAAGACAGAGGGATGAAATGGGAATATCATTTCCTTTTTGGTTTATGATGTAGAGGAATGATCCCAGTTCTCTCTCTTTGGCACCAGGGATCTTTTAACTTGGTTCCATGGAACTTTTCTAGTCTGTCACCCTGAAGAGTTTCTTTCTGAGTCCTGGTAGTGATTGCAACTGTAAGTCAATCAAAATAATATGGCATAATGAAAAAATGTGTTGAAAAGTAGCCAAGTGAATTAGTGCTCCTTTACTAATTTAATTAGAAGCATAAAGAGGCAAATCTTTCTTTCATTTTAAAGTTGATTTTAGGTACCAAATATAAGAATAAAGTAACTTTTCTTGATTGTCAAACTGGTATCTAAAGCATCTAATGAAATTAGCTATTTATTTTTTAAAACTATGATTCCTTAAATTGGCTTATCCTCCTGTCCATCTTACTCACTATTATACTCCTTCCCCCATCATGACTAAATATTAGGTTTGTTGTATTGTCTTATCTGTTTTTCCCCTGTTTTGTCAATACTGATATTAAGATAATGATTTGGATGCTATGTGTGGTATAATTAACATTTAGAAATTTCTGGATCAAAATTATGGCTTACTATAACATTGTTTTTTGAAGAAAAGCAGGAAAAAATTAACTAGGGAAAATAGTCTTGTGACAGTTCCAGTGCCATCTACTACTTAGATTTTTAAGGCCCCAAAAAGGTTATTGAACTGTTTGCCTTATTCTAAATGAGTAAAATTAAACATAACCTTTTTTTCCCCTTAGATACTCAATAAAATGTTCAAATAGGATACTTGTAATAGAGCTACTAAGAAAAAAATTGATAGAAACTAACAGAAAAATCAACTAAAACTTTCTTAAACAATAATGGGGCCTGGTGGAGTGACATGCTCCTAAAGCCACTGAGCAACATAATGGCACTCCATCTTGAAACAAAAACAAAAACAACCAACTAAACAAAAAACTGCAATAATTTTTTGCCAGAGTAACTGAAAAGTCCAAAGACAGGGCAGATTTCAGGTGAGGCTGAAGCCTGCTGCTCAGGATATATCACCAAGGACCCAGAGTCTCTCCTTTATTTAGCTCTACTTTATGCAATTTTGACCTCATTTTCAGACACCATGTGATGACCCAGTACCTGTAGGTGCTCTCCTGGTAGCAGAATGGTTGCCTGGTCCCAGTTCCAAACCTCACATTTTCATGCCTTATCATCTGAAGAGAGAGACAATGTTTCTTTCACTAGCTGCTGTGGAGTTCCCTGTGTAAGAGGATGGAAACTGCTAATTTTCTTATACTCATCAAGATTCATCCTTGGAGCCAGATATAGGTTCAGTCCTGCCTGAACCATATATCTGTGAATGTTTTCCAAAACATGTTTGAAGACTGCTCCAAAAGGGAGAATAAATGACAAACAGAAAATTATAGATGTGTATTTCTACTTAGCTTTCATTCAGAACACACATGCTTATGGATTAGGAGGTACAGATGGAGTTTATACATGTTTTAAAAATCCTTCTGGGATAGTTCTGCTGTGCACCAATGGTTGAAAACTACTGATAGTATGACCTCATTTAATTTTTATACATTGCAATAAAAAATAGTTCTCAAATTCTGCTTAATACATTTCTGCCTCCAGAGGGCACTGTTTCTTTAACAAGCAAAGGAAGAATGAATGAATTTGTTTATAAGCTGAATGTTTTTAAATTTTATGTAAGATTTAAATAAAATATTTAAACTGACCTTCATAAGATCACTTCATGCAGTATCAAGGTCATATATGTTTCCTAAAGATTGTATTTGGATTACAAAATAAGTAAAACTTTTAGTCATTAGAAAATTTCTTTCAAATGTTGTCTTAAAATGTGTCCCTGCTCAGAACTTCTGTCTGAATTTTTCTTTCACATAGCATAGCCACTAACTTCCTGATTTAGATTTCTTAGCTTTCTTTTATAGTTTATGGACTATAATAAACTTCTTAAAATATTAAATACTTCTCCTTCCAATTTAAAAAAAAATCTTGAAAAAAGTTGGTTTGAACCTAAATAGTTTATAGGGAAAGTAGAACCTACCCTTGGTGTTACCTCAGAAAAGTAAACTAAACACCAAAGTTCTTGACAGTAACAACAATGAAAATAATAAATTTTTATATTTCCACTTTATTGTTGCTTAGTTTCTTTTCTTTTTTCTTTTTTTGTGAATCACTCTATCATGAAACATGAAGTCTAGAAAGCACGCACGCAATTGTAATGACTATAATGTGAATGACTTTATTGTCATCATTTTAATAATTTTTCTTTTTTCAGATAAAAAACTGTTTTGTTTTTCCTCATGGCTTCAAATTTTGTAGATATTTTCTCACTCTTTCAATTTTTGGTTAGCATTTTAGTTGTCCCATATTACTTTTTAAAAATTCAGGAAAATATTAGTTAATACCTTCTTTATTTTAATAACACTGTGTATAGTAAAAGAGGGTATTAAATATACCATTGATTTTAAAAGTGAATTTAAATTAGAATCTTTAAAGAATTTCCATTTTATAAAAATCAAAAGCTATAAATCCATAAATTTAGAGGAAAGGAGTCTCTTGAAACTGGCTTAATATTTTGTTAGGGGTGGGGGATATAGTTAGCAGCACAACACTTGCCTAGCATGTGTGAGGTCCTAGGTTCAATCCCTAGCACTATAATAGACAAACAAACAAATAAATAAATAAATAAAATTTTTTTTTTTTTTTTGGTTAAGAATCTTCTTTTCTTGCCTACATAAGAGGCTTCCCAGAAAAGCAAGAGAAATCATAAATACAGTCTGAATGTATATAGGAAATTTAACAGAAGATAGAAACAATCAGTCTCTCAATTTTCTTTGCCTTATAATAGAAATGTTGAATACAGGATGATTATACAACACTGAGCTTTAGGTCTCTTTTATCTGAGTGGTGTGTGGGATTGTTGTTTAGCTTCACTTCTGTTGTGACCTATATTAATCCATTTAGATTCAACAAAGACAGTGAGTCATGAAAAAGGACTAATTATGAATGTTGGGGCAAAATGGAAAGTGATAAATGAGCATTTTTTAAAATATATGGCTTCAAGAAATTGACTTACAAGTGGTATTAAGATGTGTTATGGTATAGTTCTGTAGGTTATAAGCATTTGTCATCTTAATTACCTTTCCCTGATGTTGTTAGGGAAGTTAAAGAGAGATGTGAATTACTGCTATTGATAATACTTATTATCTATGATCCCATTAGCTAGTTGCTAGTGTTTCACATTTAAAAAAATCTTTCTGTGAATGTTCAATATTCATTTTTTCTCCACTACATGCAAATAACTTTTGTAAGTTAAGTTAACTTGGGCAATTTGGAAGGCTTGAAATGCTGATATATTAATCATCTTTATGCAGTTCACTTAATATACATTTATTGACCATTACTAGCTACCTAACACTAGTAGGTGTAAGGAAACTAATCGTGTTTTTAAATGATAGGTGCCTAGTACGGTTACTTTGAATTAATGATAGAAGCTTGTATAGTGTCCTGTGAGATAGGGATGATTGTTACTTCCTTTGAAATAATAATAATCCAAGGATCTACAAAAGTTATTTTGCGCAAGATGTAAAGATATAGTGGGACACAAACCCCTTCCCATTTTTCTCAAATCCCTTTCCACTTTTTCTGTTAAGTAAATTAAAATACTGGCCCATATTCTTTAAGTACATTAAAGAAAACTTTATGGTCCATTTCTTCATTATTTATTATTAGCAAGGATGACAGTTTTTTAAATGGCCACAAATTCTTAACACTTCTTTCATTGAGCAGTGTGTGTGTGTGTGGGGGGGGGGTCTATGTCCCTCCTTCCTGATATGGGTAGACTTGTGATTGCCTTGATCACAAGTCAACTAGTACAGTGAAAGCATTGTAAGACTTCTGAAGCTAGGACATAAAAGGCAGTGTAACTTCCGCTTTACTCCAAGCATGTGGGCATGGACCCTGAGCTGCCATTTCATGAGGAAGCCAAGCCATATGGAGAAATTACCTATACCAGGTGCCAGACATATGAGTGGGGGGCCTCCAGAATGATTCTAACTCTTCATTGTTGAATATTATTCCCAGACTCAAGTTGTTCCAGCTGAATCCCAGTTATTATAGAGTAAAATCATTTCCCACCCCTAGAACCTGAGAACATAATAAAATGCTTTTTTCAAACCATTAAGTTTTGGGGTAGTTTATTATTCAGCAGTAGTAATTGGAATAGCAACTGATATAAACACTTCTCCCTAGGTTCCTATTTTTGCATATCATCTGGTAGCTTTTCTTCCATGACACCTTTTTTTCCAGCCTAAATGATCTCTTCTTTCTTGCTATACTTTCACTATACATGTAGTCAATACTGATTTATTCATATTTATTTATTCATTCTGTGAGTATTTTACATGTGATTCTTTTCTATTCCAAATAGATTATAAACTTCTTCAACATTTTCATTTAATAAGTACTTAGCTGCTATCTACTATACATCAAGTTCTGTTCTAGGTGCTGGGGATACATTGTTGAACAAAAATAGGCACAAATTTCTGCCTTAATTGAACTCACTTATTTTTGTATAACTTATTCCTGCATTGCTCAGAGTGCTGCACATATAGTGACTGATAAATTATTATTGATAAACACTAGTTTTTAGCTTCTCAAGATTTCTATGAGATGAGGTTAGAAATTTTAATGAAGAGAGACTAAAAGCATAAGTTACTATAAATAACTATTTTGAGTCACCTCATTTTGCTACTATCATATTTAGTAGTTCTTCATAACGGTTTCTGCTAATGTCATGAACATTAACTTATCTTAAATTCCTTTTTTATTTAAAGTGGTATTTATCTTTACTTTCTTCTATAGCTGAGGAGAGGCACTGTTGAAGGTTTTTATTGTTTATGTGAAATTGGTATTAGATCTTTGAGTAGAAAGAAGAAAAATCCTTCTTGGAATTCCTGTTCCAGTTCTACTGTGAAGCTAAACATGCAGATGGAAAGATATCTACTGGTAGTTGGTTTTTCTCAGCAGGGGGTGGCAGTGAGTAGTAAGTGATTAGACAGTATGAAAATTGGACTAGGAACAAAAAAGTGTTACAATGTGAAGATGATACATTTTGATCATTCATATTTACTTCCTGTATGCTCTTTTTTCTTTTTGGTACTGGGGGTTGAACTCAGGGGCACTCAACCACTGAGCCATATCCCCAGCCCTATTTTGTATTTTATTTAGAGACAGGATCTCACTGAGTTGCTTATTAGTGCCTTGCTTTTGCTATGGGATTATAGGCATATACCAGCATGCCCGGCTACTTTCTCATATACACTTTAGAAAAAAAAATTTAAGGCACTCAAACCAAAAATACCTTTGAGCATTATGTTTTTAAAATATTTTCTTAGTTGTAGGTGGACACAGTATCTTTATTTTATTTATTTATTTTTATGTGGTGCTGAGGATCGAACCTAGTACCTCTCACATGTGAGGCAAGCACTCTACCACTGAGCTACATGCTAAGCCCATCCTGATTGTATTTTTGAAGTTCTGACTCAAGTAGCATTGCTTCCACAAAGCTTTATCTGACAAATATGTACTAATTATTTTCTCCTTTATTTGCTCAGGATGGTTTGCAAAACTTTTAATGTCACATTAATCACATTTTGTTATGTTGCATCTTTTCTTGCATTATAAATCCTTGATGTTAGAAACTATCTTACCCATTCCATTGTCTTTATAGTGTTCTTACTCATAGACATGATATAAATTGTATATTAGGTGAAATTATATTCAAATGTACAATGTGACTAATAATGGTGAGTGATACTAGGTCTCTCAAGGCATTAAATAGGTATTCATTTTTTTCAGAAATAGTGCTTAGCTACTTAAATAAAATTAAATCCAACTCCAAAGTGCTACTGTCACATATTTGTGAATTTTATAAATTTTTTTCTCTTATTATTTTTTTTTCATTTCATTGTGGCCAGAGAACATACATAATTGGTGTGCCTTCAGTACTTTTCAGGCTTGTTTTATGTCTTAACATATGCTGTTTTCTGGAATGTGGCCCACTTAGCAACACATTTGAGTACACAACACTTTTTTTAAAAAAATTTAAGGTATTCCAACCAAAATTTTGAAGACTGTTTAGATATCCATTCTCTGCTATTTTTGTTGAGGTTACTCCCATTATTTCTTTTGTCCTCAGAGAAATTAATCATCTACTTCTTCTACTACGTTTTAAACTCAAAGCATAACAGTTTGTTCTCTGTATCCATGGAGTCCACATCTGTGGGTTCAGCCAACCTTGGGTCAAAAATACCTAGAGAAGAAATTTTGTTTGTACTGTACATGTACAGACATTTCTTGTCATTGTTTCTAAACTGTACGGTGTAACAACTATTTACATAGTGTTTACATTGTCTTAAGTATTATAAGTAATCTAGAGATGATTTAAAATACATGAGAGGATGCTCTGGGTTATATGCAAATACAATTTTATATAAGAGACTTATGTGTCCTTGGAATTGCATATGGGGGAAAATAACGGAGACATTTAGGAATAAACCCCACTTTCATTCCTGAGATACTGAAAGGCAACTATATTTCATATTTTTTTTTCTATGATAATCTGGCTTCCTTTTCCTCAGTGGGAAGGCATGATCTTCTGCATTATTGACTTTTGTTTTCCCATTTCTGCTTTTCCTTAGGGTCTTCTTAAAGTTATGAGAATAAGTTGGGAATTAATATCTCATAAAGTATCTGGTCACACAAAGAAAAAACAGGTGACAGGTTGAAAAAGAAAGAAGAAAAAATGTGATATTCAGTCAAATAAACAGAGTAGTATAAAGAAGTTAACAGTTTTCCTGGGCTTTGAATAAATGACTAAAATATTAGACCAAAGACCAAAGAAAAGTATAAGATAAAATTTATAATTTTAAGCAAACTTGCTTTATTATCTGCTTCTGTAATTGTTTCTTATTTTTTCTTTTTTGCTATTATTTTGTTTTGTCAGGATGCTCGACATGCTGCAGAAGGAGAAATATATACCAAACTCAATCAAAAAATTGATGAATTTGTTCAGCTTGCTGATTATGACTGGACAATGTCTGAACCAGATGGAAGAGCTAGTGGTTATTTAATGGATCTTATTAATTTTTTGAGAAGTATCTTTCAAGTGTTTACTCATCTGCCTGTAAGTATAAACAATTTTTAAAAATTGTAGTATAAGTTTGCTTATGAAATATGTTTTAGGATTTAACTCTAGATTGGGTTTACTTGTTTAAATAAAATTCCTAGATTGTACATTTCCTTTTCCATTATTATAAATCGGTTTATAAGGACTGGGCATGTAGCTCAGTATAGAACACTTGCCTACCATGTGTGAAGCCCTGGGTTCAATTTCCAACCTGCAAAAAAAAAGAAAGAAAGAAAACCAAACCAAAAACAGTCTAGTCTAGTCCTTTTAATAAATCAGTTTATAAGGCATCATAACTTAGCCAGTTTTTTGAGGTTCTAATTTATTTTACTTTCTAACGAAAAAAAATTATTTTCACTAAAACCAAAGGAAAAGCCTGAAATTGACAATGTAGACTTAAATAGAAATAAATACTAGTAGAAGTTTTTGGAAAAATCAGTATAATCAATGTTTTTTCTAGTTATAAAGGGCCAAGAAGTCACTGAGTAGTTTTTATACAAGAGATGAAAAGTAAAACAAGCATGTTCTGTCCTGGTACATGTTCTTAGTTCATGTATATCTTGAACTTCGGTTGATGAAACAATTAAAAAAAAAATTAGAGCAAGGACATTTGGATGTAAATAGGCTGAACACCGGATTCTCCAGATGAGGACTACAAAGGCCAAAGGGTGGGATTAACATGCTCTTATTAAGTGTATCTAGAAAATAATATAACCACTGTGAAAACAGAAATACAGTAGTTTTACACAAATAAAATAGGAATAAATTTTATCAACATTTTTATCATATGATAGAAGATGTAGCTGAACATAAAAAATAAACTATTTAATTCAAAACTTAGCTAACTACCACCAACCCTCTTCCTTGTTTGAAATGGAGGGGAAAAAAAAAGTATTTTCCTTATCTTTACCCTATACTCTTTCCCCATCAGGAGTTGTTCCAAAGAGCTAATTAGAGAAATTGAGGGAAGGTGTTTCTATAGAAATAAATAGAAGAACATCTTAAAGAGATTTTAATCATGGCTCTTGGTCAAAGAAATTTTAGGTGCTTACCTGGGGATGATATTTTGTTTCTAATTGCTGTCCTTGAATTTATTTAAAAAACCTGTAAATATTTTTAATTAATTTTTACATCAACTGATTTCTAAAGAAGTGCTTTTCTTGTATATGCACTAAATAATTATTGAGTTAATTTGAATTCACCTTGTCAGTATAAATCTCTATGCTTCTAGCCAAAAGCAATCTTCAAGGATAAATATATACACAATGTATATATTGTGTTTTTATGTTGTAATATCTGCATCACAAGTTGGTAAGAAGTGATAGGTAGGAATTTTGTGTATACATGGGATAAAATTAAGAGAGATTATATGTTAGAAATGTTTAGGATAAATCCCTCGCTTTAGAAGGCTCATATCCTGGAGGAAATCCCAGTTTCTCAAAAGAGACTGATTACTTTGTGAGAAACAGACTCTTAGTCTAACTAGATTCAGTCACTTACGTGATACATTGTGATATTTTGTCTGATTTTAAGTGAGTATTCATATGCCATTTAAAATTTTTATCTTATCTACATGGGTTTTTCTATAAAGAAAATAAATTTTTATACAGTGTAGACAGATAAATTCAACAATAAATTTAGGACATGACCAAACAATTCACAGCTAAGAGAATGTTCTTACAATAGTATGTTCTTATTTAAGGATGAACTAAAAGAATTTTTAAGCAAAAATATTAAGTTATTGACTGTGATAGATTTTAATTATAATTAATAGAGCAACTATATTGTGGCTTAGTGTATTCCCTGAAACTCTGAAATTATATAAAATATTAAACTAGATTGTTTTCTTTCAAGCAAATTGACATAGTTACTAAATGCATAATTTATCTAAACCAAATATGACATTATGTAAGCTGTCATTTTTAAATATTTTAAGCTGAAAATGATTTCTTAGTTTTAGATTATTTGTGGACTGAGATAGAGAGACCAATTCCAAAGTTCTTCAACCCTCAAAGAAGCTTCAGAATATATTTATTTATCACATCTAGTCCCAATTCAGGCAGCAAGCAGAACTAGTTATCCTACTTATAGACATACGAGGTTAAATAATGTGTCTAATTTTAGACTCATGCCCTATCTTTGGTTTTAGCAATGTTCCTGAAAAATGGGGTGAGTTAGTCAGTGGAAGCTGTGAAACTAATGACCCTTTCAAACAGTGCTAATATTGGCCAAAAGTGCAAAAAATTGGGACATGGAAGTAGATTTTCTGCAATAAAAGAAAGTGGCTCTTACTTCCCCTGCAACTCTGAAAAGACACAAAATTGAACATGTTCTGTTTAAAATCTCCACCTGTAACTTTACTGAATATTTAGGTTTTTTTGTCATTTCTATCACTGTTGCAAAAGAATGTTTTCTTTATCAAAGACTTTCATCATGTACAATTGGCGACCACATTGCCCAGTGAATAGTTTAATTGATTCCAGAAAAGTTACAATTATCTAACAGAGTTTTGTTCTCTGCTTACAAGATCTGAGAACAGTAGAAGTTAGTAGATAATCATGGTTTTGATGGAGCCTAGGGAAAGAACTCTGTCATTTTCAAATTATGGTAGCAGTAGAAAGCTGTAGGATTTGGAGAACTACCAGTTATGTCCACTTTTTATTTTCTCTCCAGGGTTAAATGAGTGAGAGAATGGATATCTCTTACTTGTTTCTCTTAAGAGAGAGTATAAACCTTTTTAGGAAATGGAAAAATAAAAGAGCTTTTTTGCCTCCATATTTAATTAGCTATTCCTCTTCATTTCATTGTGCTCCAGCAGATAAGACAAGCTCTTTTCTGGCCAGAAGAATTAACAGAAATTGAAATAGTCAGTATTTGTAGTAATCACAGTTGTTTTTCCATTACTCAAAGTATTAAGCTTCCCTGCTAACTATGTTTTCTGCTTCAAGGAAACTTGCCTTTTTCATGGCTCATTTAGAATTAAACTCATTAATCTTTTATGGTTCCTACAGGCTTAGGTGCTGAAGTGACGATATTCATAGGATAGGCTCTGGAGTTAGGATGATTGAGTTTGAACCTTAATTTATAATTTGCTATCTATAGGGTCCTGGCAATTTGCGTAACCTTTCTGTGCCTCTTCCCTTCCACAAAATATAATGTATATATAATATATATATTAGTTTCAGATTATTTGTGGACTGTGTAAAATATAATAATATATTTTGGACTGTGGAAAATATATATATTTGTGGAAAATATATATGTATAATATATAATCCATTCATTCTCCATAGGACTATTATAGGATGAATTAAAATGCTGTGTAAAAACATTGCCTGACAGGGTGCTTGGCGTGAAGTAGACACTATTAATAAATGTTTTTAAGGTTTAGTTAATATGTGAAATAAAAATTACTTTTTCCCTGTATCAGTGCCCTTGGAAATAAACAAGTTTTACTATTTCAAAATGTGTAAATAACCCTTCTTTTTTATAAACTTTCCCTGACAGTTAGAAAATACAGAAGAAAGACAACAAAAAATTAATTTTGTCAAGGGATGATTAGTGTTTTTATTTTAGCCTGGGTTCTGCCAGTTGTCTTTTCCTATGCATTTATGACATGTATTTTTTAAACTAACTTATAAGCAAACTTTTTTGTATTGTAAGATTTTATATAAGCCAGAAAATGTTATACTAAGGAAATTTTTTAAAAGCATTAAACATTTACTTACTGTTAACACGAATATAAATGAAAGAAAATTTTGAGCCACTTGTACATCTAGGCTCTCTCCATGCCTGCCAATGGAACTCAGTAACATTTTACTCCAACTACTGCTTCAAGACCCCAGAACTGGTCTATTTCTGGAAAGAAGAGTTAACATTTCCTTCCTTCATAAATGTTATTTATGCGTTTGCTTTATTTTTTATTTTTTTTTTCAGAGTAGAAATTAGAAGTTTATTAAAGGACAGCAGAAAAGACTTCTCCCGGAGGAATAAGGGGACCCAAGAGGTGGAATCCCTATGCGTTTGCTTTAATAAAGATAATTTATTGATTTACAACCACTAAGGGATATATATAAATGATAGTTTTTAATTTCATCACAAATATTTATTAACAAAAGGGCCCCGATTATTCAAATGTGTACTAACAAATAATTATCTTCTATAGTAGAAATAAATGGAAACTCTCAAATGATCAGTTTGCTCATATTTCTTCCTTTTTAAGAACTTTCCTTTGTTTTACTTTTAACCATAATGTAATCTTTTCTTCTTCTTTACTTACTCTAGAGGTGTTAGATTTGTAGATATATCTGATTTCTATTTGACTTTTCAATGTTTTCTTCCCAGAAATATCTTTTCCTTTTGCTTTCAAATATACTTAACTTTTTTTTCCTGCATTAATGAAAGTGGCGTGGACAGTTTTTTGAAAATACATTTTTTTAAAAAAAAAATTTAGTTGTTGATAGAATTTTATTTTATTTTTTTATATGCGGTGCTGAGAATCGAACCCAGTGCCTCACACATGCCAGGCAAATGTGCTATCGCTGAGCCACAGTCCCAGCCCCTAAAAAAGACATTTTTAGAAATGACTTTACCTTTGGCATGTAATTCTCTAATCAAATGTAAATATAATTGGATGTTTTTCAAGAAAATCACTATATGGTTATAGGTGTTTCTCACTTTAGAGAATAAATGTCTGAAAAACTGTTCACAGCAATATCTGTTAATCAAATTATTCCTCCCAATAGCTTGTATTCTAAGATTAGAGATGCCTTCCTACTGAGAGAAAGTGACCTCAAGATCATACTGGGAAACTGATATTGAGCATACCTCTTCCCAACTGTGTATTCAGTTACATTACACTGGTAGTCATGGTAGGAGTATTTAGACCACTGTAACCAGCAAATGATACAAACCAAGTTTTTTTCCCTCCAGAGAATCACTGTTAAAAATTAACTAGCACACCACTAAATACAGCTTAACCTTAAAAATCACACTGT